CTGCCTCCCCGCTGGCATGGGCAGGGCAGGACGGCAGCAAGGGGAGGGATTCCGGAGTAAGGCAGCTCAGGATCTGCCCCGGAGCTGTGGCCAGCCCTAATTAGCTGTGACTTCATTGCTGCTGCAGTTGCACCGTCAGCGACTCCCCCCCCCCTTTCCCCGCGGTGAAATCACCTCATCCCGGCTGGGCTGCGCTGGAGATTTCTCCGTGCAGGTTTTTCTAGGATCTCTCACTGTCACCGCCTGCACACGAGAGATCCATGGCATCTGCCCCAGCCAGGGCTGCCATCAACAAACTGAGGGACAAACGCTGGGAAATGGGAATTTCATCGCAGATGCCCCTTGGGCACGTCTCCTGCTAATTTGCACTTAGATGGGTGCCTTTCTCTGAGCACTTTATTAATTAAGGCTCGCAGCCCACCTGTGAGGCAAGGAAGTTATTAGTGCCCTCATTTTCCAGCAGAACTGAAAGCAGTGGTTTGCCCAAGGCCACAAATCTAATCAGTGGCAGAGGCAGGGATGAGTGAGTTCTTGCAGTCTCCTGTGATACTCCGTGCACCCCACTGCCTACCTGGAACAAATTTAATGGCTTCCCTCAAAGTTCACATTTTTGTTAAAGTGATGTAAATGAAGATGGAGCACCCAAAAGGAGCCTTGCAAGGGGGAGAGCTCCCAAAAATCTGCAGTACCCAGGGCCAAAGGCATCATCTCCTGTCTGAGCCACAAACCCTCCTCCCCATAAACTCCACACTTCTTCTTGTCCGTAAATTTAGTAGGAGGGTTCAAGCATAAATTTAAAAGAAGCTTTTATTGTACCAAATGCATCAACGTAATTAACACCCAACCCCATTCTTTTGCTTTCTTAGGCTGGAACAAACCCTGTGCCCTTGGAGAAAATTGTTTCCCCTTTTCCTCCAGGGAATCCAGAGCCTGAGCAGCAGCTGTGAAGAGTGGAGAGAAAGAAAGAAGTGGGAGATGCTGGAAGTGCTTTGGGCGACGTGAGAAGGAGGATTTGCCCGGAAGGAGCTGTTCAAGGGCCCAGCAGCAAACCAGAGACACAAAACCTGCTTATATATAGAAGAATGTAACCCCTGTGTATGCAGACGTGGACGCGTGCATGCCTTGTCGAGAGCGTAAGCGACATTCCCTGTAGATCAGATCGCTGCTGTGAGCAGCCCTGCTCCCGCAGGCCGAGCCTTGGCACTGCTGCTGGCCCTGCTGGACACCACCCCCTGCCCTGCTGGCCCGTTTCTGCAGCACGATGAGGAGGAATCTCTACACCCAGATTTGTAATCCTGAGAATTCCAAACGTGCTGCCCAGGCGTGGCGGGAGCGGGTGCGGAGCGGCTCGGACAGCGGTTTGTGTGTGTAAATATTCATGCTCTGGCACCAGGGGAGAGCAGCTTTCCTATGACTTTAGTTTCTCTGGTGCTACATTTAATATTTGTCTGGGGCTAAACTGCCTCTCTGTGGTGCTACAGTTTCCCCAAGAGGATGTTCTGAAACGTGGGACAAGGAAAGATCTATTTTGGTTATTGATATTTATACACAAGATAGCAAAAAGTAAGACTTGTTGAGAAGGTGCTATTTTTTTTTTTCTTTCTTTCAATCTCTGCAGAAACTTAAGACAAAACAAATAATCTACCCCAGAACTTTATAAAAACTCCTTTTCTTTGGAGCAGTTCTTTTTCTTTTGGACAGTGTGGAGCTTGGGAAGCAGCAGGCACTGAGGTGGAAAGGACACAGGGCCCTTTCCACTGCAGTGTGCACATCAAAGTCTGCTAGAGCAGCACTTCCTGCAGCTCCAGAGCTGGGAATTCTCCTGCATGGTGATTTATTCAGTCCCACATCCCGTGACCCAGGGAAGAGAACTCTTATCCAGACTGATCACTAGAGCAGGGGATAACAGGAGAGCTTGGCCTTAGAAGTCAAAGGGCTTTTTTCAGTCTAGTACTGAGCACTTTTATCCTTGCAGCCAAAACTACCTGTCAGATTTCGGGTACCTTCCACATACAGCAACCTGTGCACAGTTTTTTAGAAACATTTTTCCTACCTTCAGATATTTGCACCAGAAAATTGACCCTGCCATGGCAGGGAGGGCATTTTCAAAGGCATAAAGGAATGTTAGAACCCAATTTCTGAGGGAAACTTGGCTCCTTTTCTTTTAAAAATACTTCCCACCCCTCACCCAGCCCAGGAAGAACCCGAGTGGCCTCTGTGTCCAGTGAGACCCTGCATTTTCCACTGCTGCAGGAGAAATGTTTCTAAGCAATCTGAAAGCTAAAATCTCCCTTTATCAAATATTCACTGCAGTGTTTTGAGCCCCTGCACACATTTTCCTGGCTGATATTGATCCAAGTCCATTCCCAAACAGCAGCAAGGGCTCTGCTGGAAGAGCAGATGGTTCCTGGTGAGGAGCCTTGCCCTGCCCTGGTGATGTGCAGTGTGGGGAGGGGTGGTGTAGCTCTGTGTAGTCTGTCTGTCCATACCCTTGGGGTGCTCTCAGAGCCACAGGGACCAGTGAAACATTTTCCTGCCATTTCTGGCCTGATGCTCAGTAATCCTCAGCATCCTGAACCCCTTCCCAGCTCAGTCTCCTACAGTAACAAAAGGAGGAGCCTCAGCTGATTCCAGCAGTGCTGGGCAGAGCCTTAAAAATACCAATTTCTGGAAAGCCCTGGAATGTGGGAGTGAAATTGTGCCCGTGGAATTGCACAATCCCACTTGAACAGGAGCCTTGGATGTGACACTTGCCTTAGGGCACATCCTCCCCAGCCCTGGGACAGGCCCAGAGCTGGGTCACATCCCTCAGAGGCTGTCCCACCATTCCTCACCTTTACCAGCTCTGAATGTAATGAACTCCTCACCTGGAATAGGTGAATTATTGCATTTCCCTGGGCACACAGCTGGCACTGCCCTTCCTCTCTGCTGCCCTGGCTGTGGGGGCTGCAGCCTTCAGGCTGCTCCCAATGTTTCAATCCCTTGGAACAGCACAGCCAAGGAAAAGGAAGGGAAGTTCTGTCCTCCCCACCTCGGGAGAGCCCCCAGATCTGTGATCAGCCCCAGTGCAGGGATTGGCTGATCTCCCTCAGTCCCAGCCCTCCATGGACAGGCTTGTCTGTGAAAATTCCCAAACCTCAGAGCTCCCAGGGCATTGCTCTCCTCAGGGGCTCCAAACAGTCAGCAAAAAATGTTAACAGACTTGTCCTGCCCAGCCTGGAGCAGCCACATGGATGGTGCTTCCCCAGTGGAAACCAGAGCAGGGCTGGAACCCCAAACCCTGCCTTGTTCCTGGTTTGCTTCACTTCTGTAGTTCCAAACTGGATGTTTTGTGTGAACTGAGGGTGAAGTTTTGGAGTTTTGTAGCCAGAATTCCCTGTACAGAACTGGAATTCCTTGTTGAGGGTATGGATTTGTCAAAGCCTTACATTTTGTGGTGTAATTGCTATCCTTGAACGCCTCCATTTTTTGACAAGGAGTGTTTTTATCCTTTCTACAAGATCTGCTTTCCCCCTGGTTGGTGTTTGCCCGGAAAGGGAAGGGTGCTGTGAGCTCCCTGGAAATTCCCAGTCCCCTCCTGTGGGCAGGAAGCCGGCACAGTTCCCCTCTGGCCCTTTTGTTTTCTCCCAGCAATGCCGGGGTTGGCTCAGCTGGGAGGGCCGTGGAGGAGCGGAGCCCTCTCGGGTTTCAGAGCTCACTTATGAGCTCATGGTCTGCGCACAGCACGGCTGGGAGGGAGCTCTGCATGAATCTTTAAAGCATTCCCTGCCAAGGCAGCTCCCAGCACAGCCTGCAATTCCATATTCCAAGGTAAAAGAGCAGCCTGGTGTGGGCTGCTGCCACCTGCTCCAACTGCTCCTCTGGCCAGGGAACTCAGTTACCCCAGGGCAGGGCTTGGCCCAGGAGCTCCACATTCCTTCCTCTTCTCCTGCAGAATTCTTTCCAGCAGGTAAAAAAGCTGAAATGGGCCCAGGCCTCCTGTCCCAAGCTTGGTGTGCCCAGGAGGGGCAGCACCCAGAGCAGGGAGCTGGCAGTGCCCAGGGGGGAATCCCATCCTGCTCCTGCTTCAGAGAGGGAGGCAGGAATTCTCTGAGCCAAACACATTGCTAAAGCAATTCCCTTCAATCCTCCTCAAACACTTCTTGAATCAGCTTCATCTGATCTGTGAGTCTGTTTTGTTTCTGTATCACAGGAAAAGTTAAAAAGGTCTCTTAAACCCTCAGCATGAGCAGAAGCAGTTCCTGCTGTTGAAATCCATGACAAACTGAACTGGTTCAACTGGTGCAGTGTCTGTCTACAGACAGCCTGGAATGAGGCATTCCCAGCTGGAAAACTGCATTGCCCTGTAAAAAGTGGCCCCAGTGAGGACAGAATAGCCCATAATACTCAATTTTCCTACCCAACATCTGTCCCTGATCTCCACAGGAGCCTGGTGTGTACAGAACAGACCACCTGAGCTCCCCACTGAATCCTGGACACACACTGTCCATGTCCAACCCTCCTGGCTGTGTCCCAGCTCCCCAGCAGGTGCACAGCTTTCCCTGGAGCCACTTTGCTCCCAGCAAATTTGATTTTCAATCCAGGCTTTAAACTTGGCCTCATTCTTGTGTAACTTTGCTGTGTGTGAGCTGAACTTTCCATCTCATCACAGCAGTGAGGAGACTCTGGCCATGCCAATTCCACATCCAAGGCTGAGGGAATTGTGAATACCATGGGAATTGGGCTTCCCTAGGACCAGCCAGTCTGAGGAGAGGGATCCTCACCTGCTGCTCCTGTCTTGGGTTTTTACACCACAAAATCCAAACTTTTTTTTTTTTTTTCCAAATATTTATTTGAGTACAGGAGGGAATTTTGATGTGACTTCAGTGTCCACTCTGAGGGAATTACTGAAGTGCTTGAATTTCCCAAGGTTTTTAATATTTACAGGAAGAGACTCTGGAGCTTGATAATTATTCACTAAAAGCATCTGAGGATAAAATGGCCATTAATTAGTTACACCATTATTACTTACACCTTTATTAATTACTCCATCAGCAGTTACAGGTGGCAGCAAGCAGAGCAAACCCAGCTGCAGTGGGATTTAACTCCTTGGGTTTTTACAGCATCCCTTTTCCAGTCATTCACCAGTTTATCCCAAATCCCTCCCATCCTCCTTAGTCCTGAGGCCACTGGGAATTCCCCAGTCTCTGCCAGTGGCATTGCCCAGGGAATGACAGGCAGGGAATGCCCAATTCCTGGCATTTTGCTGATCCAGAACCATTGGGATGAAACTCCAGCAGGGTCACTGTGCAGGTTTCCCCCTCACCAAAGCAAGGGCAGGGCCTGTGCTCAGAGTTCCTGGAGCTCCAGGAGGCTCCTGGTCCTGGCTGGATGGGGCTTCTCTCTTTTGTAAAAGGAATTTCATATGCTGAGACTCTTTGTACATATTTATAAGGAATTTATTAAAAAAAAAAGAAAAATAACTGTTCAATGGCAAAAAAAGGCTCTGGGTTTTATTTCCTCTCTCTAAGGAATTTCCTTCCACAGCTTTCCCTGTTTTCCCATGGAAATCAACAGTCATTGGAACTGAAGTTTCCCCTGGATGCTTTCTGGTCCAAGTCTCATGTTCTAGGAGAAGGTTAGGACCATCCTCCCAAAAACAACATCCCAAAATTTAAGAATGCAAACCCACACTTTGCCTTTGATTTCCTGCCTTACCACCAATAAAAACCTAATTTTGAAGCAGTGTATCCCACACTTTCCTACTGAGCTTTTCCTACACTCCTCCAAACACATTTTCCAGAAGCATTTAGAGAAAAAAATTCAGAATGAGAAGCAGCTTTTCAAACAATTTGAAAGCAGGAACACCAAGCTTTGGGTTCACTGGCACTGCAGTGACACTGAGGCCTTTCAGAACCTCCCTGCCCATGGAATCACTGATTTCCCTTTTCCTGCTGAATATTCCAGGCTATCACACATCACATTTGTTATGCCCAATGAAAACCCTGCTCCCTGCCATTCTGAACTCTCTCCCATCCCAAAGACAGGGATCTATTCCCATTGCAGAGAGCACTGAGATTCCTTGGCTTAGTTCTCCACTTTCACAGGGTCCATTAGACAAGAATTTGACATCACTTTGGCTTGGAAATTAAAGCTTTTCCTGCTCTGCTTCCCTGGACCTCCCAAGCCAGGTCTGGACTCTGCCCAGCTCAGGCTCTGCTCTCACCACTCCTCCTCAGCCACACTGAGATTATTTCCACAGCTGAACTCCTGTTCCCATCAGCTTCTGTTTGCTTTAATTCCTCCCTGTGGAGTTTCCATCAGCACAGCCAGAACCTCCTTCCCTCAGGAGCCTCTTCCTGCTGATGGCTCAGGTGGGGCTGTCACCTTCAGCCATTTCCATGGCAATGAGCTGGGGATGCTGCTGCTCCTGGGGTGGTTTGGGGACAGGGAAAGCTCCAGAACAAACAGCAGCTCCTCCCTCTGAGGGCTTGTGCTGCTGGAGAAGCTCAGCAGAGAGCTCAGCCACAAGGATTGGGTAATTCCTGTTAATTCCTGCCAGGGATCTCCTTCCTCAGGAGCTCCTGCTGAAGCTCAAGGCTCTGGTTTTCCCTGCTGGAGGAGCCAGGCAGGTCCTGGCTGAGGAGCACAGGGCAGGGACACTGAGTTTGTGACATGCTCTTAGACAGGGGCTGGATTTCCATCCAGACAAACACAACTCAACTTCAAGCTCCCTCTGCTCTCCCCAGAGACTGGGAAATCAGAAAGTCTCACTGTGGAAATGAAAGAGGAAGAACATTTCCAGGGAAAGGAGGTGTCATTTCCAGCTTCACTGGCAGGGGCCTTCCCAAGCTCCCTGTGATGTTCCTAAGGTGACAGCACGTGCCATTTGTGGAATCAACTGGGAAATGACATTTCTGCAACTGCAGCTATGGACAGGAGGTTCTGAAGCCCTGCTTGGGAAGAGTTCTCAGAGAGAGGTGCTGTGTAATTCTGTGAGGTGATGGACTCAGGGAGTGCAGGGCCAGGTGATGTGGAGCTCCTCAGCCAGAGCACAGCTTTGTTCAGCACTCACAGCCTGCCCTGGACGTGCTGTGCTTGTCCATACTGAAAGGAAAACAGGAAACATCCCAGACACTTCACAACCCTGTAAGCTCCAAAAACACCCTGGAGTTTACCACAACATAACCCACACCTCCCCTGCCCTCCAGGGTAAAGGTTCTGGCCAGTCACAATTGTTCTGTTGGCTCAGAGCTGGAATAAAGACAGACAGAACTGAGCAGGGATCCTGGCATTGTCCTGCTCTGTGCCTGGTGAGCTGCCCTGCAGTCAGTCAGTGCACCTGCAGGAGAGCAGGGCTGCTGGCTGTCTGTCTGTCTGTCAGTACACCTGCAGGAGGGCAGAGGTGCCCTGCTGGCTGTCTGTCTGTCTGTCTGTCAGTACACCTGCAGGAGGGCAGGGCTGCCCTGCTGTCTGTCTGTCTGTCTGTCTGTCAGTACACCTGCAGGAGGGCAGGGCTGCCCTGCTGTCTGTCTGTCTGTCTGTCTGTCAGTAGACCTGCAGGTGGGCAGAGGTGGTGCCGTCCTTCCAGCAGCGCAGCGTCTCCACGGTGACCGAGCGGCACAGGGGACACGTCTTCTCCCGGTCGAACCAGAGGCACAGGCACTCCTCACAGAACACGTGCTGGGGACACAGGGACAGGAGCATCACTGCCACAGGCACTGTCACCAGGCCTCACACTGGAATTGGGGCTGTGTGTTCTGTCCCCATCTGTCAGAGCTGGGGCAGTTCTCTGCTGTCCATGGGGCAGTTTTTCCTTTATCTCTCCCCCAGCCAATCCTCCCTGCAGGAGATCTCTGCTGTCCATGGCCACTGAGTGTCCCTGCAGGGCTGATCCAATTCCAGCATCCCATGGGGAGATGCTGCATTGCCCAGGGCAGGAGCCAAGCATTCCTACCTGGATCCAATGTGAGCCTGGCACAGCCCAGCAGCCTTTGCCCAGTGCATTGCCAGAGGAGCAGCTTCTGCTGCCCTGCATGGCCAGAGGGAGCCCAGGCCCATCTGCAGCAGCCCTGGAGCTGCAGAGGAAAACTCCCCCCTTGTGCAGGATCCCTGCTCCAGCAGAGCCACAGCTGGCACTGCAGGAGGGCTGAGCCCCCATGGGATGGGGCTGTGCCACCCCCTGACACACAGGGGACAGGGCATGGTCTGACCCTGTCACTGTTGTTTTGTATTACTGCATTGCATTATTTTATTTTTTTATTTTCTTCCCTAATAAAGAACTGTTATTCCTACTCCCATATCTTTGCCTGAGAGCCCCTTAATTTCAAAATTATAATCATTCAGACAGAGGGGTTTTACATTCTCCTGCCTTCCTTAGCACACACCTGTCTGTTCAAACCAAGCCACCTCACCAGCAGGGAGGCAGCTGGTGCAGCTGGCACTCACAGGCTGTGGGAAATAAACCCCAGTTTGCCAAAGCTCTGGTTTCTAATTAGAGCACTAGAAATAAACATTCCAAAGGCCCACAGCACCTGGGCTGAGAGGGTTTTCCTCTGCCATATTTCCCTCCTCAGTTCCCTAAGTTATCTAAATCCTTACTGAGCTCCCACAACCTCTTTCTTCCCCGGGCTCCTTGCATTTGCTTTATGCTGCACTCCCAGTTTGCCCTTTCCAGTAAAAGTCAGTTTTCATCCCTGATCTCCTCCTCTGGTTTCTGCACTGACCCCTCTCTCGAGGTTCTCCCCAGCAGACACCATCCAATCCCAGACTGGGAGAGCAGGAAAAGGGCAAGGAGGGAGCACGAGGAGCTGTGAGAAGCTGGAAACTCCTCCACACATGAGGAGTCAGCAGAAATGTCACTCCTCAAATCCCAGCTCTGCCAAGCAGATCCAAAAGCAGCTCCTCAGGGGCTTCCAGCTTGGAAACATCTGCACAGATGTTGGCAGCAAGGCTAAGAGGCACCTTTGGTGCACAGGATGGCTTTAATTTGATAACCCTGTTATCAAAAGGGAGTTTTAATCCACCCAGCCCTCTCGAGGGGCAGGTAAAGCTCTGCTCAGTGTAGCCCCAGGGTCTGCACTGCCCACTGCAGCCCCTGCCCCACAGCCACAGTCACCCCCCAGCTGCCACAACCCAGTGGTTACCCAGGGCAATTTCCTCCCCTGAAATGGAAAATGGAAACCCCCTCCCTCTGAATTGTGATAATCTTGGAAATTAAGGGGCTCTCAGGCCCCTTAAAGATATGGGAGTAGGAATAACAGTCCTTCATTAGGGAAAAAATAAAATAAAATAAAAGTGCAGTAATACAACAGCCACCAGGAGCTGGATCAGGAGGCAGCAGAGGCCTGCAGGCATTCCCAGGCTGGCTGTGCCTCTCCCCACTGCAGGAGCTCACTGAGGGAATGGCAGCAGGGCACTCTGGGGGTCTTACCTGGCACAGAAGGATCAGAGGTTCCCTGAACTCTGCCTGGCAGATGGCACAGATGTCTCCTGCCTCACTGCACTGCTGGCTCGTGGCACGGACCCCATAGGTCTGGCAGGGACAGAGGGGGATAAAACAAACCCCAGGTCAAAGGATTGGAAGGGTAAATGTGTACAAAGATTGCTTTTCACCCCAGATTCCCCACAGGGACAGCAGTGTGGGGAAGGGAGATCTCTGCTCCCTGTCTGCCTTTCCCCTGCAGCTGACTCCATCTTTTAGGGCCTCCACTTGTGCAGCAAGGATAATGGAATTTAATGAGCTCAACAGGGAGCTGAGAGGATTAATTCAGCATCATTTGCAGGGGTGTTTAGATGGAAGGAGGGATTATTATTATTATTAGCAAGCAGGAGACAATGGAAGAAAGAGAAACAGCAGCAGCACCCACAGGCTGCCCACTTCCCCTTTAGATACAGGGAAGGGAAATGTTGCTGTTCCCACTGTAAGAGATTTAGGGCAAACAGAAACCTGCTGAGGGAAAATGACCAGCCCAAGCCCAGGGAATAAGCAAGATAAGCTCTACCAAACTTTGATGAGGTTTTTTCCCTCTACAGCCTTTGATTTTACCCTTTTAAAATGGAAGTCACTGCAGCAGATCTAAATATCAGCCCTGTGGAATGCAGTGCCTGGGATAATTCCTGTGCCCTGCAGGATCTGTTTCTGCACTTCAGGCACCACAAAGTCCTTCCCACACTCTGCATACAAAGTTTTGTCAGCTCCTTGCAGTTGGATTAATCCACATTACACAGAGCCTCCAATCAGAACAGGAACAATCTCCCAGCACAGCTGGGGCAGGGCAGATGTCAGAAAAGGTCCCTGATGTCCCTGACAGGAGCCCCCAGCTTGTCCAGCCAGGGGCTAACATTGTTTTATTCTGTGGTCCTGAGCAATTTTCAACTTTTATCACTCAGCAGGAACAAGGTTCCACCTCTGGGACTGCTCCTCCACATTTAACTCCTTACCTGGGGGGTGCAAAGGACCTTCAGTGCCTTCCTGACACTTCCCACACGGCCACAGATGTCAAAAGACTGCAAAAATAACACCCCATTTTAGATAATTTTCACAAAACCTCTGTGTGTGTGTGTGTGAGAGTCCAGAAACTCAACAAACATTCTCCAAATGGATACTCAGAGGGGAAAAAGTAACAATGGTGCCAAAAAAGATTTCATGGTGATCATGAAATATGTAATAAATGGGAATTGACAGTGGGGAAGGGTGGCCAGAAAAGCTCTGGGAGCAGCTGACTGCAAAGTGGGGACTTTAGAGGACACAGAGGGGGCTGGCACCAGGCTGGGCTGGGGACAATTGTCCATCCCATCAGGCAGGGAAGGGCTAAAATGGAGCTGCTCCCATAGAGAAGGGAAAGGGGAGGAAAAAAGAAAAGAAAGGAAAGGGAAAGGGAAAGGGAAAGGGAAAGGGAAAGGGAAAGGGAAAGGGAAAGGGAAAGGGAAAGGGAAAGGGAAAGGGAAAGGGAAAGGGAAAGGAAAGGGAAGGGAAGGGAAAGGAACGGGAAAGGGAAAGGAAAGGGAAAGGGAAAGGGAAGGGAAAGGAAGGAAAGGGAAAGGGAAAGGAAAGGGAAAGGGAAGGGAAAGGGAAAGGAAGGAAAGGGAAAGGGGAAAAAGGAAAGGGAGGAAAAGGAAAGGGGAGGAAAAGGTGACGGGGAAAAGGAAAAAGGAGGAAGAAGGAAAAAGCCTGAAAACCTAACCCAGTCCATCAGGTTTCTCCTGCCTGCAGGCAGAGCACAGGGAAAGCTCAGTGAACTAAAGAAGATGTGAGCAGTGACAGTGCAAGGAGCAGCTGGGGCTGGTGCCCAGCAGGAGCTGCTGCTGCCACCTGAGGCAGGGGAGGCTGTGGGGCTGCAGCTGCAGAGCTGGAGCAGCAGAGCACAGGCACAGAGGAGCTGCCTTTCTGTGCTGAAGTGCTTTTGGTGAGGGATGGAGTGGGCTCAGAGCAGGGAATGCCAATGAGCTCATCCTGCAACGCAAGGGGAAGCAAATGCAGCACCAAGAATGATTCCAGGCAGCACCCACGGGGCTCAGGGCACCTTCCAGTAATGCCTCCAGCTGGGGCTGCCCCTGCCTCAGACATCCCATCTCCTGCTGAGGATGGGGTTAGCCTTTCTTTCTTTTTCTTTTCTTTCTTTCTTTTCTTTCTTTCTTTCTTTCTTTCTTTCTTTCTTCTTCTTTCTTTCTTTCTTTCTTTCTTTCTTTCCTTTCTTTCTTTCTTCTTTCTTTCTTTCTTTCTTTCTTTCTTTCTTTCTTTCTTTCTTTCTTTCTTTCTTTCTTTCTTTCTTTCTTTCTTTCTTTCTTCTTTCTTCCTTCCTTCCTCCTCCCTCCTCCCTCCCTCCCTCCCTCCCTCCCTCCCTCCCTCCCTCCCTCCCTCCCTCCCTCCCCTCCCTCCTTCCTTCCTTCCTTCCTTCCTTCCTTCCTTCCTTCCTTCCTTCCTTCCTTCCTTCCTTCCTTCCTTCCTTCCTTCCTTCCTTCCTTCCTTCCTTCCTTCCTTCCTTCCTTCCTTCCTTCCTTCCTTCCTTCCTTCCTTCCTTCCTTCCTTCCTTCCTTCCTCCCTTCCTTCCCAGTGCAACTCCCAGCTTTTCCTGCTTGCTTTGCTGACAGCACAACTCCAGTGCCTTTGCTCTGATGTCTCCTCTCTCCCAGCCCATATTCCCCCCTCATTTCTTTCCCTCTGGAGCTCCCTGCACACCCAAAAGCTGTGTGTTTCAGAGAGTAAACACCCATTTCTCACCCATTTTTTTGTTGTACCAGGCATCCCTTCACAGCTGGGTCACACACACAGGGTGTGCTGATGCTCAGGACAGGCAAAAAACCCAACCTGGGTGCTCTGTGTGTGAACAGCTGGGATTTCTCCACCAAAAGCAGAGGCTCCTGGCTCCACAGGGCAGACAGAGGCACCAGCCCAGCTCCCAGCAGCCTCCTGCAAGTGCTCCTGCCCTTTGTGCAGGGAAGGGGACACAGCCCCAGCCCAGCCCTGGGATTTTGCCAGGAGCACAGGAGCTCTCAGTGCCAAATTGGCTTCTGTGGTTTTTCTAATGTGGTTTGTGGCTTTGCTAATGTGGGCTCCTCTGGGGATATTTTCAGTGTCTCAGGCAAGGAGCTGGTCCTGCAGCTCTGGGGACTGGCAATGGGATGGGCACAGCCAGGGCTCTGTGCCCTGCACTGGCAGAGGAGCTCCCCCTGTCCTTCCAGGCAAAGGCTTGGTGTGCACAGGGCTGGCTCTGACCTGGATACAAACTTCCCAAAATGAAGCTGCTTTTCCAAGCTAGATCAGCCCAACACTCCCTGTAAAGGCTTCACAGGACAGGAACATCAAGTTAACCCCTAAGGAGCTGCTCCCCACCTGTGCCAGGCCCTGAGGAGCCTCACCTGGGCTCTCCTCCCACAGCCCCTGGGCACAGCAGCTCAGCTCAGCTCAGCCCTGGAGGTCTCAGCTCATGGCTGAGTGTTTTAGGCTGGAAATGCAGGATGTGGCTGTGGGTGTGTGTTCTGTCCCCATCTGTCAGAGCTGGGCAGTTCTCTGCTGTTCTTGGGGCAGTTTTTCCTTTATCTCTCCCCCAGCCAATCCTCCCTGCAGGAGATCTCTGCTGTCCATGGCCACTGAGTGTCCCTGCAGGGCTGATCCAATTCCAGCATCCCATGGGGAGATGCTGCATTGCCCAGGGCAGGAGCCAAGCATTCCTACCTGGATCCAATGTGAGCCTGGCACAGCCCAGCAGCCTTTGCCCAGTGCATTGCCAGAGGAGCAGCTTCTGCCTGCCCTGCATGGCCAGAGGGAGCCCAGGCCCATCTGCAGCAGCCCTGGAGCTGCAGAGGAAAACTCCCCCCCTTGTGCAGGATCCCTGCTCCAGCAGAGCCACAGCTGGCACTGCAGGAGGGCTGAGCCCCCATGGGATGGGCTGTGCCACCCCCCCTGACACACAGGGGACAGGGCATGGTCTGACCCTGTCACTGTTGTTTCTTATTACTGCATTTTTATTTTATTTTTATTTTTCCCCAATAAAGAACTGTCATTCCTACTCCCATACCTTTGCCTGAGAGCCCCTTAATTTCAACTTTATAATAATTCAGAGGGAAGGGGGGGTTACATTCTCCTGCCTTCCTTAGCAGACACCTCTGTGTTCAAACCAAACACTGAGCTGTGCTCTGGAGGTGTCCCCCTGCTCTGCACCCTCCTCATCCTCCCCTGAGCCTGCCTCACTCCTGGGCTCTGCAGTTCCTGGACTCTGCCCCTGCCTGGGGAGGCCCTTTCCTGCCAGCTGTGCTTTTGAGCTTGGCTCCCCTTGCTCCAAGGAGCAGAATTCCCCACCAGCACCTTCCCTGTCTGAGGGCTCCTCCAGGAGCAAGAAATGGCACCTGGAGCTGCATCCCTGTTCCAGGGGTTGAGTTATTTTTGCAAGCAGGGGACAGGAAAGATCACTTGAAACCTGTTCTTGTCCACCTGTGGCCTGCAGGGAGGGTGGATACTGCAGTGGGTCCAGGCAATGACACCTCTGCAAAGGTGTCCAGCACAGGGAGAGGAGCAGGGAAGAGCTGGAGGGGTGTTGCAGGGAGCTGCTCCTGTCCTGGCACTGCCTGTCCTGCTCCTGGCTGGGGCTCAGGCCTGCTGTGACCACATCACCTCACTGGCCATGGCCTCCTCTGCCTGATTTGCTCACAAGAATTGTAAAGCCCTGGACAGGAGGGGCTGCAGGACCCTATTCCTGCACCATACTCTGTCATTCAGCATTGCTCTGCTCCTCCCAGCTGTTTCCAGCTCAGATGTATTCTCCATTCTTCAGCCCCTCATACATTCTCTATTCTTCATTTTCAGGCTGCTCCTGCCAGAGCCACAGGCACAGACAGGGATGTGGGATGGAGCAAGCCTGGCCCTTCTCAGAGGGGTGAACCTCTGGTTTATCAGAGTTTGCTTCAGCTACTGCCCTGCCCTGGGCAGGGTTCAACACACAGCACTAGAAATGCAATTATTTCTACACCTGGGACTCCTCTGACTAAATCACACCTACTCATTTACATTTGTACCAACTTTGTGCTCCTGTTTTTGAGGAAACCTAAATTACTCCTGTCCCTCACTTGTGTCAGCCAGAGCAGGGCCTGGAATGGGACCTGTTTTATCCAGGCAGGACTTGGCTGCCTGCTTTCCCTCCCTGCTGCACTCAGAGCTGTGAGTGGCAGAGGAAAGAGTGTCTGCAGCCTGTTTTGTGTGACACCTGGAGCTGTGCAGCTCCCCCAGGACCAGCTCCCCTCCTCCTGCAAGCCTCTGCAGAGAGGGGATGAGCAGAGCAGCAATGACTTCATGAGTCTGATGCAACCCTGGGAGCAGGCTCAGATCCTCCCCCAGCCCAGCAGTGCCCACATGCTGGGCAGCAAATGCCTTTGGCAGCTGAAGGAAGAGAGGTGCTCCTGGGCAGGGACAGCCACAAGCAACAGGAGCATTTGTCCCTTCAGCTGTGCTGCTCCCTGGCCCTGCCCCCAGGGAATGTTGAGGAGGTGCTGCTCACCTTGCAGAGGCTGTACATGATGATGAGGATGCCACCCAGGAAGTAGCTGCTGGAGGGATCATCCCCCATGATGTATTTGTACCACAGCTGGATGGGCACCAGCGAGCGGAACAGCTGGCTCAGCTCCTCAATAATCAGATAAAACTTTCCCTGCAAGACAACCAGGCAAGTGAGACCATGGCCATTATCAGGAAATCAAAAGAAGAACATTTCATTTGTGCAGGGCTGGTGTTCACTGATCAGTGCCCTGTGAAATGGTGCAGAGACCACACTCCAGAGATGCAGCTTTCTCTGCAGCCCCTCAGCTCTGTGCCCAGACAGGACAAATACCCCTTCATTCCTCCACAGGGCTCAGCTGAACACCAGCAGAACAAATCACTAAAATATTCACTTGGGTTTTCTACTGTTAAACTTGAAATTTGAAATCAATGAAATCTGCTATGCAGCATTTTGGAATTATAAACTTTAGAGCAGGTTATGGATGGGTAATAAATTGTGTGTCTGGATGATGCTGCAGAAAAACAAAGGTTAATATTCATATAGGATTCATATAATGTAAACTGCAGATATTATTATTAGTGAGAAAAGGAAAGCAAATTTATCTCTGACCTTACAGCCCTTCTGAAGGTACAGGATTAAATGTAAAGTGGCCCCAGCCTTCCTGACAACTTTTTAGGTAATCCCAAATAAATTCATTATGTTTGACAGCATTCTTCCTCTCCCCCTCAGGTGGGTGTTGGCTCTTGGGCAGTGCCACAGATAAAAAAACTGGAAATTAAACCCTCAGGGCATTTAAAACTCAAAGGGACCAAACCTTCCTGAAGAGCTCAAGGAAGGAAAGGTGGGGAGGGGGAAGTGTGCTGCTTCAAATGCTTCTCTCTCAAAAGAGACTCAAAGAATGGGCAGCATCCTTTGTCAACCTTCACCAAAGCCTGAATAAGTGTCTCATTTAGGGCCACCCCCAGTTTGTTTTGTCCCACGCTGTTTACAGGGACAGCTGGTGGCAAACGAGCCCAGAAGGACGCTTAATGCAGACATTATCTGGGCTGAAAGATTTGGGTCTGTCCTGTCAAAATCCTTTTATCTGCTAAGCTCCTGGAGAAGGGGAAATTCCCCTGGAATTTTGCTGTGCTGTCCCAGTTAGCTCTGTCATCAGTGATGTCATCGCAGGCCAATCACTAATTGCTGAGGTGGGGATGGAGTCCTGCAGCCGGGCTGGCAGCAGCCAGCGCCCTTCCCCGGGGGCTGGATGAGATCACTCGCAGGCCATCCTGCTGCTGCCGACAATCCAATCCTCCCCGCAGCTCTGCTCATGAGCTCATGTCCCCCGGGACGCCACTGAGGTCACACCAGCGCCTGCTATCGGACCCGGCTGCTTCCCTGCCCTCCCCATCCGAATCCTATCCCCATCCCCCCTCCATCCCATCCCAACCCACCCCTCCTCATTTCGATCCCCACCCCACCCCATCCCTTTCCCTTCCCCATCTCCATCCCCTTCCCCATCCCTCTTCCATCCCATCACCGTCCCCACCCCATCCCATCCCCTCTCCCCTCCCCACACCAGCCCTATCCCCCCTCCATCCCATCCCACCCCCATTCTATCTCCATCTCCATCCCCCCTCCATCCCCATTCTATCTCTGTCCTCATCCCCATCCCGATCCCCACCCCATCCCTTCCCCATTCCATCCCCATCCTCCCCCCCATCCCATCCTCATCCTCATCTCCATCCCATCCCATCCCACCCCATCCCCCTTCTATCCCAATCCCCACACTGTCTCTTCCCCATCCCCATCCCATCCCCCATCCCATCCCCATCCCCATTCCCCTTCCATCCCATCCCATTGCCATCCCCACCCCATCCCCCCCTCCACCCCCCTCCCCATCCCCTCTCCCCTTCCCATCCCATCCCCCCTCCATCCCCATCTCATCTCTATCCTCATCCTCATCCTCATCCCATCCTCATCCTCATCCTCATCCCATGCCCATCCCCATCCCCATCATCCCCATCCAACCCCACCCCATCCCCATTCCCCTTCCATCCCATCCCATTCCCACCCCCCTCCATCCCCTCCCCGCACAGCCCCGGGCAGCAGCCGCAGCAGTCCGGGCTCGGGACCGCCCCAATTTATGCAATTAGCGCTCCGGCCTCTCCCAGCCCGCCGCTGCGATGCCATCATGGTTTATTTTGGGCGTTGCTGGGGCAGAAATGACAACGCTGTCACCGTGTCCCTCCACAGGGCTCTGATGAAAGCTCCCAGCAAGGTAAAGGCAGAGAATTTTGCTTTCTGCTCTCATCCCTCCCACCCTCCATCCATCCCTGCTGCTGGCTGGGACAGGTCACTGCTTGCTGTCCCATTGCATCAGCCAGAGCTGCTGCATCCTGCATCCTGCAGCATCCTGCAGCATCCCACAGCATCCTGCAGCATCCCACAGCATCCTACAGCATCCTGCAGCATCCCACAGCATCCTGCAGCATCCCACAGCATCCCACAGCATCCTGCATCCCGGCTGGAACTCTGCTCCAACACAACCTCTGAGCACCAAGAGCCCCGAGTGCACACCTGTGAGCAAAGCTGGGCACAGCCCTGGGGCACAGCCAGGCTCTGGAGGTGGCAGTGGCATCGAGTGACAAACTTCAGCATCCAGCCACAACTCCTGCACCCTCCCCAGAGCTGCCAGAACTCCCTTATCTCCAGTTTCCAGTGGTAACTGCAGGGTAGCAGGATGTTTTAGCAGCTAGAAACTTGCTGACAGCCTCCCAAGAGTGAAGTGATGTTTTAAGGGATGCATCCCCCCCTGCAGCCCCTTAGCAGCACCCACCTGACCATAAATGTTGGTAGGTTTGGAGTGATTCCAGCAGGGCAGCTGAGCATCACTTGAAGAGAACTAAAAACTTCAGGCATCTCAGTGCACCACACCAGCCCCTTCTTTAAACTAGGAAAAGTGCCAGAAAATCAGAAATGATTCTACAAAGGGCTGATGCAGAAGTGAGGCCCTCCTTCTGACCCAGAAGCTTGGAAAATGAGGATTGTTCCCTACAGTTTCAGCAGTAAAATGCAGATTTCTGATAGCAGCAACTCACTGCAGACAGCACCCATCAGTGGGAGCACACTCAACACACCTGTCTGCCACTGCTCAGCTCTGTTATCTCTTGGCTATCTAGGTTACACTTTTCAAAGTCAGATCTTTGCCTCAGCTGTATTTTGTCTGAAAAATTCTGCTAAAATACACCAGCTTTTTTTTTTTTCCTTCAAGAGTACAACTGTGTGCTATATAAAGCACAAACATAATTATTTCTCCTGTGCTTGGCACGACGGCTTGAAATAAAGCAAGGTCTGTTTCTGTCAGGTGAGTTTTCCTATGTCAGAAAAAGCTGTGTAAATCTGGGAATTTTCTCTGGAATGTAGAGAGGTTGAAGAGCTCTCTAAGATCAGCAGAATCTTTCTGGTGGGCCTGTGAGCCAGCCCTGTGCAGGACTGGACAGTGTGGGAGCTGAACTGCAGAGATTAAGTAAGATATGACCTGGAATTCTGGCTCCTGATGAAGGTGGGGGTAGGGAGAGCAGAAAGGCTCTGCTCCCATCAAGGGTTAATTCAGCCTGCCCAAGAAGTGAGGAGGGCAGTGCTGGCCCTGCTTCCTCTGAGGGAGCTGCTGCTGCTGCTGCTATCAAACACTTCATTAGCACACGTGGGGAAGGGCTGTGCTGGGATCTAATTTTAGCAGCTCTGCTGATGAGCCTCAGATACCACATGGTGAAATTTTGATTCTTTTTTTTTTCAGAGCTCAGTTAAAAACACAAGTCAATGACTGGGATATAATCCCCCCATTTTTCTGAACCTCCTTCACCACACAGAAATACCATTTCTATAGTTCAAAACTTCTTTTGAAAGAAGGGAATTGAGCATTTTCACACAATTGCACTTTCCCTTCTGTACATGCAGAATTTCAGCCTGTACTGCACTGGCTGGTTTTGCATGGAGACAATGGAATTTCTGGGTATTTTGTTCCATCCTCACCACCTGATGGCAGATCTGCATCTGATCCCTTCCTGCCATTTGAGCTCTGCCCAGAGGAGCACATTACTGGAATTTCTTCAGTCCCTTTACGACATCAGCGCTACAGAAAACACTTTTAAAACCCCTTTATTTTCATGCTGCTGGCTGACCTCAGGGACAGCTTTTCTCTGCATTTTCTAAATGAGAACCTGAGACACACAAAGACAAAGGTCAAGACAAGGTTGTTTTGGTGTCCAAGCTGAGGTGCTGGGATTAGATTTTTTATAAAGCACTTCATTTTCTAGATCACATTACCATTAAAAGCTGAACCCCTGACTTCAGTTTGCAGCTCTACCTGACTTCTCTAGACTCACACAGGAATTACTTGGCAAAGTAAAGGACAGGATTTAATTCTCCAGTGTAGCAACTCAACTTGAACTTGTAGAATTTTCTTCTCTTTGTTTCCTGTGAACTTTCCAGTTGCTGCAAGAGCTTCTTTCCATCCCTCACCTTCATCCTTGGGGCGTGGTGATGGAGGGGAAAAGTCTCACAGCAAAATAACCTGGAACAGTGTAATTAAAAACTGAATCCCAAGCTAGACACAGCACAGGGGGCAGGCTGCAGCAGCAGGGGGAATGCTGACTCCCCCAGGGCTGTGTGCAGCTCCTCTGCCATAAGGCTGTGCCTCCCACAAGAACAGAGGCACAGCAAGGACTGACAGAGTGGGATCAGAGTGGGGCAGGCAGGAGGAGTGAGACAAGTTGCAATGAGGCAACTGCAAGGTGTGATTAGCACTCGAGGGAAGCTCCAAGTCTCACTTGTTCTGCTGCCAGCAGCAGCATTAGGGCATATTCTGAAACATGCTTGAAAAAGCTTTGGAGTCCTGCTGGCAATTTGGATCAGAGGAGAGCAGGCTCTGCTGAGATTCCAGGTCATGGTGCCAACAGATCAAGTGCTGGGTAGGAGCAGTGAAAGAGAAAATTCCCAGATTTACACAGCAAACAGCACTGTGGCATGGAGGATGCTGGTGAAAATCCATGCAGGACTAATGAGGAGTAATGGCAAGGTGGGACTAGAGGGGAAATTGAGAATTTTAATGCTTCTGAAAATCACATCTTTTGTGTCTTAAACTGGAAAGTTAAACTGGGAAAACACTGAAGAGCAATGATTTTTAACAAGTTCAGTAGTAGTGATTTGCAAAGCAAGTTTAGGGAGGGGGACAGAGGAGTCCCCACTCCTCAGCACCTGTTCTTGTGCTTCAGTGAGCTTTTTTATTTTGTAAATAATGAATCCCACACTCCTGACTCTGGGACAGCACATCAGTCCCAGCTGCAGCAGGGAGAAGCCTTTGCAGAACATCCTGGAGTTCCTGTGGCTCAAGAGGAGCCAAGCTCAGGCTGCTCCATGAAGAGTGAATCTGTTTGTGAGTGAGCTCCCCCAAAGAGGAGCAAGGCCAGGGAGGAGAGGGGATGAGAGGATGGGCTGTCACCTGCCTGGGAACACCTCTTCAGCCACAATAAATTCCAAATTGCACAGACAAGGACCAGGAACGTCTTTGCCTGGGTACATTTTATTCAACATCATCTATGAGCCAGCTCCCAGGGAGTTTTTTATTGCTTCTGTATTTTTGAGAGGACTCAAATGCTCCAAGAGCCTTTTCTTCCATTAGAACAAAAAAAAAAAGTGCAGTTTCAGAAGGAAGATGGAAATTAATGTGCCAGGTTCCCTGGCAGAGCTGTGTCCAGCTATGACAAGAAATATGATGTGCACCTAAGAAGGGTTTTTGTCCAAGGTCCAAGTGCAGAATTTGCAATTGCTGACAAATCCAGACCAAGTTTTCTCTGACCAGACTTGATGAGATGGTACTTTAAAAATAAAAAGCACTAATCAAACAATCAACTGGAACAAAGCACCAAGCAAGTATGTTCAAAGCTGCAGAAAGGGGGCAATGTCACTGCTCTCCTCCTGCATTTTCCCTCTCCTGGAAATGCAGTCCCCTCTAACTTGGCTCTGCACTGAGCACGCAGAGAAAACCCTTATTTAGGGCCTTTGTATTAAAATGTCCATGGTATCTCTGTCCCCTGCAGGGACAGAGACACACAGATGCAAGAACTTGGGCTAACAGTTCCTTACAGTCCTATTTAGTTTGATTTTCCTTCTCCCTCCCCCCATGTTTCACTCACTTCTGCAGCTCAGATTGCTGACAACAACATGAGGAGGGGATGGGAGGCTTGCAGGCACCTGGGATTTCCTAAGTGAAATCTTTGGCAAGTGTGTCTTTTTATTATTTATTTCCTGATTTTGAATTCCACCCCCCTCAAGCTGTCATTCCTTAGCAGTGCAAATGAAAAGCTGCCCTTGATGTGTGCACAACAATGGAAGCCTCTGCAGGCCACATGGCTCCTGCAGTTTAATTTACTTTAATTCATTTTATATTGAACCAAATGATCTTATTTGCCTTTTTTAATGGAGAGCCTTCAGCCAAGCCCTCCCTTCTGAGGGAATGATGAGCTCAGCTGTTCCTGCAGCCTGTACCCAGCTCAGTGTCCCTGTCACAGCCTGGGGCAGGGAGGGGACACCCCCAGCACGGGTGGGATCCTCTGGAAACTCCCCAGAGCTCTGGGATCAGTCTGATGCTGGGGTGACCTTCCTTCTCCTGCTTTTCTCTCCAATCCTCTCCAAGCTCTTCTCTCCCTGCATTCCAGCCTGGCTGGAGTCTCACAGCCTCTCCTGGTGCCTCTGTTTTCCAGGTTGGTTTGGAACCTGGGAAAGTCTGGGGTTATTTTGTCAGAATTTCAGTCTTCCCTCATTCTTTGGAGGAGTTGCTCTGAATTTCTGAGTTGCTCAGGCTGGGGGAACTCTGGCTGGTTGTACCTTAACAAATAATAAAGGAACTCTCATGCTTCACATTTCCAGCACCCATGATGATGGGTTTTGCCCACGGTGCAAAGACAAACTTTTTCTGCCCCTCAATTTGAGTTCACTTTCTTTCAGTTAAAGCATAAGCTGATGTTACAAACCACAGAAGTTTGTACAAAAATTGTCCTTCCTGTGATGGGCCATACTAGGAAAACATGACCAGGTACTTTGGATGGGGGAACTGAGTGTTGTGACTCACATTTTTCATGTGTTTTCTTTCAAAATGAAAAGATGCATCCAACTGATGAAAGCAGAGTTCAGAGCTATTCACTATTGTCATTGATGGTTTTGATGGAACAAAGTAATGTACAGCTGACACTAAACTGTAAGCACAATTGGAAAGAAGGATTATATTCCAAATTCATCTTGAGAGATTGGAGAAATGGTCTGGAAAACAAGGAGGGAATGAAGACAGTCCAGAAGAGAATAACAAGATCTGGAATTAACAATCTCTGAGAAAAGACTCAAAAAATTGTTGGAGTTCAGTCTACAGACAAGAGTGAGGGGAGATATAAGGACTGATAAATAAAAGCAAAACCCACACAGTATTCAGAGAAGATGCCAAGGAGCAGCAGGAAAAGCCAGACTAACTTTGCAAGTGCCTTTGAACTTCCAAATGAGGAAAATCTGAAGAGCCAGCTCAGATCTGGGCTGAGTGCAGGATGATTAAAGTTCCCCACATCCCATCCAAGGGCAAGTTTTAGGATCTCCTGCTGACTGCCAGCAGCTGAGGATTAAATCCCTGGGTGCTGAACTCCAGCAGCAACCTCCATTTCAGGTCCTCTACCAGGGCAGCAAGAGGCTGCTGTTCTGAGTAGTTAAACTGGCACTAAAACTTCTCACTCTACAGAAATACCCATCTTGAAAAAATGGAGCTCTGCTGAGTTAAATTCCTATTTCTCCAGCAGCCTGTTACCATCAAATGACAACTACCCAGAAGCTCATAAACTCCAAGCTGGGCTTCAGGCAGAAATCCTACTTGGAGGACATTGGGAGGAAGAGAAGAACTTTGTATCTGGCAAGTATTCAGAGAAAAAAACTTGATAAAAATTTAGGTCCAAGTTAATGTGCATAAATTGCACCAGAAGTGTTCAAACTGAGCAGAAGGTTCCATTTAAATCCTCACCTGTGCTGGCCTGTGCAGGCCAGGGGTCAGCAGGCTCAAGGCAGGAGCTCAGCTATGTGATCACTGATTACCATTTCCATGGTGTGCTGTGGTTCTCCTGGAGCCCTCCCATCCCAGTTTGATCTTCCTTAATTTGTTACATCTCATCCTTGGCTGGGTTAAAGGGGGAGAGAACCCCCAAACCAAACCCAGATCTGCTGGTGGGTGCCAGCAGTGCCAGGGGACAGTGAGACCATCCCCAACATCCTCAGACAAAAAAGAGGCTTAAAAAAAGTGAGACACATTGCTCTCCAGAAAAAGGTATTAAAAATGAAGCATCTGTGCTCTGAGTCATTACAGGCCCTTGACAGATGTGATCCTACCAGCCTCTCACTGGAGCTGCAAATAAAGACCCCTTCTCTTTCTTCTCTCCAGACAAGGATTAATGAGTACTTGGGATGGCTCTCAGACAAGCAAGCAAAGGCTGTGAACCTTTTCCAACACTGCCATTTATCTTGGGAGGACTATTCACATCACTTCTCCCTCCCTCCCCAGCCTGGATTATGCTCTGACCCAGCACATTAATCTCCCAAAATATAATAATAATAATAGAAGGATGGGAAAAAAAAAAAGCTGGACAATTGCCAGAATTAAATTAATAACCATCTCAGATAGCCCTGCTGTGCAGGAACAAACTGCTCAACTCCCCTGCCACCCCTGTCATTTCTAAGCAAAACTATTCCCAGTTTAGATCCCCCCTGAAGTGTCCTGCCTGGGACTTTCAGCAATTCCTGCTGGTACCTGGCACCTGCAGGTGCCCTCCATCCTCACAGCTGCCAGGGGTTTCTTTACTGAATGCAAATAACACACATTGCCACATCTGCCCCCAGAATGGGGACACTGCTGAGTGGAGGGAGAGAATGAGAGAGATGTGAAATAAAAATATATCAAAAAGTGTTTGGAATGAGAGAGAAACTTTTACAAGTTAGGCTTAGTCTACATGTGGCTTCATAAACATTTAAATACGTGCAGCATTTAATTAATCCCATGGTTAGAACTGGTGCTGCCTTTTGTGGCTTTAGTTTAACCCAGTTACTTCTTTGACCCAAGTGGGAAGCCAAAGAGACAAATATTTGCAATTTCTTCCCAGGAAATGAAGAGGTTCCTGCTTCAGAAATAAGAATTTACAGAGATTACTCAGAAAACAAGACTTCAACTCAATGAGAAAAGCAATTATCTGGCTGCTAGCACTGATTCCTCCTCAAGCACTGCTCACCTCACCTCCCTGGGCTTTAATCACTGCTGGGAGCACCAAACCCTTGCTCAGGTCTGTGATGACTCAAAAAGCACCCCTCAATCCCAGGTGACTTTCTGCCAAAGGTTTAGCAACAGATTTTAATGTTTTTAATCTTCCATCCATACCTGGCCCTGGCACAGGGTGCTCAGAGCAGCTGGGGCTGCCCCTGGATCCCTGGAAATGTCCCAGGCCAGGCTGGACATTGGAGCAGCCTGGGACAGTGGGAGGTGTCCCTGCCATGGCAGGGGTGGCACTGGGTGGGATTTAAGGTCCCTTCCCACCCAAACCATTCCCTGATTCTCTGATTCCATGCTGCAAACGTGTGGTGAAGGTAGCAGATTATCAAAGACAAAGGTTGGTACCTCAAGAAGAGTCTCCCACCTTTGACTTGACAGCGAGGATGATCTTGGGCAGGGCCACCACGAGGCATTTCAGGGCAATGGTGAGGTACTTCAGCACAAAGTCTGCAATGCCCACAATCCACATCAGGTCAAAGAAGTCCAGCCTGTCCAGGTTGGGTTTCAGGAATATTAGGCTGAAAGAGACACCAAAGCTCAAATACCACTGAGGAGAAGATTGCTCAAGCTCCTTGTAGCCACTGCTGGCTGGAGAGAGCCCAGCAAGGGCCCTGAACTTCAGGGAAGTTCTCAAGGGCAAGAGGAGGAAGAAACACAAATCAGATTTGTGGCTCCTTTGGGCCTCCTGACTTGCTCTTGCCCACTTCTACAGGGGTCAGCAGGTTTGCCCAGTGTCACAAAACAGGACCCAGGCACCCAAGAAGTCTGTCTGGAAGCCAGCAGTGTCCAAACCTGCCTTTCCCACTGCCTGGGGTGCTGCCAGTGCCCTCAGTGCAGAGTGTGGGATCTGGGTGCCACAGCTTGTCCTGGCAAGTCCTGCTCAGGACAATCCTGCTTCCCTGGCCAAGGGAACACCCCTCAGCCCCTGAGGCTGCTCTGCCACAGGGGCACAGCCCCCAAACCCACTGGGCACACCAAACAAAGGGGTGGCACAGGAAACCCTGCACCAGCCATGGCAGAGAGGTGAGAACTTCACACTTTGTGTCCTGCCCTGACAGTGCCACTGCCTGAAACACAACAAGAGCTGGGCTCTGTTAATTCTCTGTAATTCTTACCTGAACCAAAGATCCAAAAATTAATGCTCCTCACATAATGTCATTTACTGGGCTGAACGTTTGCTGTTTAAAAAAGTGGAGCCTGGGACAGCAGAATTTCACCCAGCAATGGGCAGGAGCTACTGGCCTGAGCAATAATGAGAACTAGACCCTAGTCAGGCTGAAAAAACAGGATTCATCTTCAGGGTATTTACCTGCTAAAGCCTCATGGTAGAAAGCAAAAACTGAACAGTTAAAAAAAAAAAAAAAAAGCAAAGTAAAGTAACCAACCCAAAATGAAAAGCCTGAACATGAAATTAAAATACTCACAACACTGGCACAGCACAACAGGTAAAATTACACCCTAAAAACAGAAACAGAATCAGAAACTTTACTACTATTCATGCACTAGAAACAAGAAAAAAAATCAGGAAATGAAAAATGAAAGAAAGAAACAGAACTGAAGCAGACATTTCTAATTTGACAAGCCTGGCTTGTGAATAGTCCCAGGTCTGGCAAGCAAGAGCTACAGCAGCCTGAGCATGACAGCACTGCAGCACCCACAGGAACAGGGCTTTTCCTGGAGCTGTGGCCCAGCCTGGCCACTGGGAATAAACCACACTCTAAACTGCCTGTAAGATGGCCCCAAATTGCTAAAATCCCTTTATTTTAGATGATCTACCCCTTGTTTTGAACTAGTCCCATTCATGCTTTTAACCTTGGCCACCTTCTCAGAGACACCCTGTTACCCTGTGTGCAAACATTTCACTTCCAGACCTTTCTGCCATTCCTGTTCCTCCTTTCCCACTCCCTCCCACAAGCTCTATCCAGACAATCCCATGGCTTGGCCTCTCCCCTTCAGCCCCACATTCAAACCTTCTCAGCTCTCCCCCTTTCTCTGCTTATTATATGCTTATAGCTGTGATTATTCCTGTCTGATTTATATTAAGTTGTGGTTCAAATCCATGAGCACAAACCTTTCTGTATTTGAGAATGAACCCAGTCAGGATTTGAAAGGCAAGGCTATTTTAATTACCTCATTTCCAAGTGCCCTGAGAACACTGGGGTCAAAAACTGCTACTTCATCTCCTGTCCTGCACTCCAATGTGGACAGACTGAAGAGGAAAATCAGTGGGTCAGTTCCTCATCTGCCTCTGACACCTGCCCTTGATGGTCAGCTGCAGTGGTCACAATGGGAATTCAGAGGAATTCAGAGGGCATTTTTGGAAAGGATCCACCCTGCTTTGACACCATCACACCCTGGCCCATTTATACACTGCCTATGTCCTTTACTGACAGGAGTATGGTAAGGTGACACACACATCCTTTTCCTGCACTGGAAGGTATTACAAAGATGTACCAAAGACAGCAAATCCTTTAGGGGCACACAGTTCCTCCCACAGTGTGGGGGAGAAGCTTCCCTCTCTCCCTCCCTGGCAATCATCCCCTGCTCCCACCCTGCACAATGCAGATTTTGCTCACCTGTTGTACAGCTGCTGAGAGCTGAATGTGTAAAGCAAGTACAGGGTGTTTCCAGTGAGGAAGGCCAGGATCCAGAAGACAACCAGCACTGATCTCTTCTCCTGAGTAAGGAAAATGAGCAGAGTTATTTCAGCTCAAAATCTCAACACCTGAGCTGAGCCTTCAACTGCTGAAAAATCCAGTCCAGGGGATGCAAATATGTAACAAAGTGCTCAGTAATTAGTTATTTACACAGGACTAAGAAGTGATCTGTAAGGTAAAGACATCTATAAACACAAGCAGAAATGCTTCTCTCTCCTGTAACCTTTTCAATGGAAATGAATTGAAATAAGCTGGTGAAAATGACAGAATTACTTGCAGAATGCATCTTCAAAGTTGGGATCTTTCTTGGGACACCTAAAATCCCCTGACATTTAAAATGTAGATTAAAAGAAGTCCATTCCATGTATTGTCCTAAATTCTGAGCTGTCACCTGGCTGGAGTGACAATTCATGGAAGGGGTGTTTTATAAATAAACCCAAAGTCACTCAGTGGAAGGCTCAGCTAAATCAAATATACCCCACCACTACCTGCAGCACATCTGGGTGTTCTCCTAAAGCATGGTGCTTCTGGAACATTCATTTTTGATTGAACAAATAATTAAAGGTCAAAAGAAGTGGAAATTTTGCATTTCAAGATATATGGAATGTTACAGACAAGCTGGATGGCAGAAGACACTGTCCTGGGTCTTGGCCCTCGGTAACTTTGGGGAGTAAATTTTATTCCTGAGAGGAAAACACCCACCATTTTTCATGTGAGCTGATTTATTAAGCAAGGAGGTCTCTGTAGCTGCTCAGCAGCCAGGCCTGCTGTGCTGAGATTTAAAGCAGGCAGATCAGGGGGCACAGTGCTGGAAGGGCAGAGGTGCAGAGTGCAAGGCAGCAGCAATCTGTTACTGGGCTGTGCCACTCATCTGCTCACTCCGTGCTGGATCTCACTGACTCCACTGCTGCTGGCACATACAGGCATGCACTTGTGCCACCCATTCTCTAATTTGGACTAAAAAGCAATTCTAGCTTTGTGCTTTTAGTGCTGTTGAACTGTTTTTCTGACACAGAAGATCAGAAGACCTGAAAAGATCTGCTGGTTTCTTTACCTTCTAAGCATAATAATGCCCAGAGCATTATAAAGCTACTAGCCAGCAACACATCCACAAAATCTTTCAGCTGAACATCTCAAAGCATTATCTAAATGCTAATTAGCAAAATCTCATCATTAATAAGTCAAATAGGCTTCAGCATCTCTGCTGTACATGATGAGAAAACCAAGGTGCAGAGAAGTGCTGGAACAGGCACAGCCAGGCAGAGGGAGATGCAGATTACAACATCCCTGACCTGTCCTTTTTGTTTTACTACACCACATTTCACAAAAAAGCAGGGCAGAGACTTTGGGAGAGCACTGGGGAGAGGCAGGAAGAAGACAGATCTGTGCACAAACAAATGCATTCAGCCCTACACTGCAATCAAAGGTTCATCACAGATGCTATTTTGTACATGGAAAATGATGTTTGCTGGGAACAGGAGTGTTGGAATCTGAAATGCAGGGAATTCTTAGAACTTTGGGCTTGTAAGACAAAGCTTAGAATTAAAGACAGGATTTGTTTTGAGACCTTGGAAAAGGCTTCCAAACTGAGGTGCTAGAAGTGAGAATGTGGATTTATAGTTTGAAGCAGAGACATGTTAAGTGGAAGAAAGTTTAGAGTTTAAGACATAGAAAAAATAAAAGTAGTTACAAAGGTAAACAAGGAGCTTAGAATACAGTATTGTAGGTCTGTGTGTCATAACATGATCAGCTAAGAAAGCTTACACTGTAGCATGAGTCCATAAGATGAAAGTCCACAAGGATTGAGTCAAAAACATAAATATTCTTGCTAGCAGTGTTTTATCAGTCAATAAATCATTAAAAGGTCTTGTAGCCAGGGGTCTTGTGACCTTCTGAACCACCTTCTGACCTTCTCACATCCTGTAAAGATGTGAGCTGAACTCAGCCTTCCTATTTATGCAGAAAATAAGAAAATAAATGGCATCATCTAAAAAACTCAGAGGTCCTGTCTCTAACTCCTTCAAGAATCCCCATACAGGAAAAAGTAAAATGCCAGACTCACCTTCAGAGCCACCTGTTCTCGGAGCGTGGAGTTGGCGTAGGCAAAGGTGCTGGCCATGCCAATGCACACAGCAATTCCTGCAGGGAAAGGCTCTGTCAGGGAGAAACTGCTGATGCTGTTTGACTTCATTTCACACCCAGCACCCTCCCTGCAAGACAGGAGTCTCTGAGCCCTTCCTTCTGTGCCACACAGAAAGCTTTGCTGTCACCAGGGTAAGCTCTCCCCATCTCTCCTAGAGAGAGAAGCCTTGGTAACATCCTGAGGAATGTCAAGGAGAAATCAGGGAAAGGAACAGCCCTGGTCAGGACAGGAAACAGATGGATCTGACCTGGATGAACACAGCTTGGACTGAAAGTAGGGGGAATTTATCACAAATTTATCACATGCATTACCCCATGCCTTTGAATATGTTCCCTTCATGCTAGACTCCATCTGGACATTGCCACATGGATAAATGTATCAGACATCAGAGCCTGATAAAGCCTCCAACCTTTCTATAACCACATTTCAAAGAGGATGGATGTATCAGATATCAGAACCTGATGAAGTTTCCCAACCACCCTCCAACAGCAGCTCAAAAAGGACGGATGCACCAGACACCAGAGCGTGAAAAATCCCCCCAACCACCCTCTAACCACAGCTCAAAAAGCTTTGACGAACGCTCACCAAGCTTGTGCTGGAAACAAACTTTAGCCAGGAGGATCAAGATGAAGGGAAGTCCCTTCTGCAGCCACCCAACGACAGCTCTGAGCTCGGAGAGAGCCGGGGCCGGCGTCCCTGCCTGTTCCTCGGCGCCCTCCTCGCCGTGCCCGTGCCGCTCGCCGCCCGCCATGTGCAGCAGCGAGGAGCCGCGGTGGTGCCCGTGCTGGAAGGGATGCGCCGGGGCCCGGTGGTGGAACGGGGCCCCCTCGGCTCGACCGGCGCCCTCGTCCCTCGGGGCCGGCATCTGGATGAAGACTTCTCCCCCTCCGGCCGCCGAGCCCAGCACCAGCCCCGCCGGGAAGGGCGCGGCGGCGATGGAGGCGGCGGGGAGGCCGGCCAGCCCCGAGAAGAGCTGCTGAGGGGAGGCGGCCTCGGCCTTGAGGCTCTCGAACACTCCGCTCTCGTCCACGCTGGCCTCAGAGCTCAGCGTCTGGCTCCGGCTCCTGCAAAGGGGACAGACACCGGGGTGCAGTCAAAACAGGGGCAGAGACCCAGGGATTCACCCAAAATGGGGGTACAGACCCAAGGATTCAGCCAAAACGGGGGTACAGACACCAGGGATTCACCCAAAATGGGGTACAGACCCCAAGGATTCAGCCAAAATGGGGATACAGACACCAGGGATTCACCCAAAATGGGGTATAGACCCCAGGGATTCAGTCAAAACAGGGGCAGAGACCCAGGGATTCAGCCAAAATGGGGGCACAGACCCCAGGATTCAGCCAAAACAGGGACAGAGACAAAATGGGGTACAGACCCCAGGGATTCAGCCAAAACGGGGGTACAGACACCAGGGATTCACCCAAAATGGAGTGTAGACCCCAGGGATTCAGCCAAAATGGGGGCACAGACCCAAGGATTCAGCCAAAACAGGGGTACAGACCCCAGAGATTTCAGCCAAAACGGGGGCACAAACACCAGGATTCAGCCAAAATGGGGGCACAGACAAAATGGGGCACAGACCCCAGGGTTTCACCCAAAACAGAGGCACAGACCCCAGGGATTCAGCCAAAATGGGGGCACAGACCCAGGGATTCAGCCAAAATGGGGTACAGACACCAGGGATTCAGTCAAAATGGGGGCACAGACCCCAATGATTCAGCCAAAATGGGGGCACAGACCCAGGGATTCAGCCAAAATGGGGTACAGACACCAGGATTCAGTCAAAACAGGGGCACAGACCCCGGGATTCAGCCAAAACGGGGGTACAGAACCAGTGCTGGTTTAGCCCAGCCTTGAGTGCAGTGATTCATCACACTCTCTGTTGTTGGTTGGGGGTTTATGTACAAATCACAAATGGGATGGGACTGCTGGGGAATGCATCTCAAGCTGCTCACTTTCCAGCATCACTCTCATTACAAGCTTATGACAATGGGAAGATGCCAGCAGCTCATGTTCTCGGCAGTAGCCAAAGAACTCAATGTTACAACTCACTTTAAAGTTTTTTGACCAATCATACAAAGCAATAGCACATTGACAGTAGTTCTATCCAACCACTATAAGCACACATACCTTTGGTTAAACAATGCTTGCTTATTTTGAATACAATACCTGCTTGTAAGCCTTAAAGCACAATGCACAGAGCTCCATTATTAAGCTTAGAACTTCCTAATACCTCGCCAGATATACTTTTCTGTAGCTTAGGGAGGTATTCTAGACAGCATTAATACACAGACCATTGCTCTATTTGCCCTTACTTTCTACATCTCATATAATTTTTCTGCTGACAAATCTTATGGCAACTGCTTAGCTCTAATCACAGTTCTGCTGTCTCTGAGGCCTGCCTTTTGCAGCTTTCCCAAAACTCTCTGATTTTAAAGATTCCCACTCAGAACACCAAAGTCTCCAGATGCTTTTCCCTGTGTTTTCTGTAGAGAAGTCACAGCTGCACAACTGGAGACCAGTAACCCAGACCAGAGAGCCTCTCCAGACCTGACCAGAACACATCAGCTCCCTCACCAAGGAATGAAGCTCCAAACACCCTGCTTGCTTTTGGAAATAAACAAAGTAATACATCCAGTACCAAATCCAGTATCTTCTACAATGATTTCTATAAAAAAAAACATACATGGAACCTGACTCAGCACCACCAAGTCGAGTCATACTATAAACAAACTAACTAACCAGGCTAACTCAAAGCAATGACCTACCCCCAAAATCCTCTGTATTTTGGGACAATCACTACCTGCCCACTGATTAACAGCACCAGAAGAGACAGAGTCACCAGGGGAAAAGAAGCATTGAGAGCTGCTTTGTATGTCCCTGACCTGACACAAAAGTGAAGGATGTGCTCATGGGTCCATTAAAATTAAATTCTTTAATTTTTATACTTTTGACAAGTTGGGCATGGATGTACCCAAATTACTGGGCAGAACTGGTACTGGCACTGATTGTTTCCTAAGCATGTTGGAATACAGCCAGATTCCAAAAAGAAAGTCTAAATACCTTTATCCTGACATCAAAAGACAACAGGGGTTTTTTCCTTCACTAGAAATCAATACAAGGAAAGTTTAGTTGAGAGGGAACAATGCAGGTAACAAGAATATGATCACCAGGCCCTGTCAGTAAATGCCTGACAGACAACAAACACTTCTCTAAGCTGCAAAAGCAGAGTAAAGAATAAACAAACCCCAGCAAGAGGCAAAGCCCACAAGCAAGGCATGGTGCAGAGCTTTGGTCCCTCCTGATTTGAATCCTGGGAGATCTCTAACTTTAGGAACAGTGGTTACAAGCTGAGACAGCACACCCAGGGCCCTCAACCCTCTCTCCCCCATGGGTTCCAAAGCCTCCCCAGGGCACAGAGCTCTGCCTTTCATCTCCCTCTGGGGACACCCTCAATCCTCTCTGGCCAAACCTTCCCACTAAGCAAACTCCTAATAAGGCTTTTTTTATAGCTGCACCCCATTCCCATTGCAAGGAATCAAGTCAACAAGACATTGCACACCTCCTTCTGGTCCAAAATATTCATCAGCCAGGCCTTTAAATTCACACCTAGCATTACAGTTCAGGGATGTACACACAGCTTAGGGCTGACAATGTAACAAACAGCCTGGGTACCCAGTGCTACAAATAAAGACACAGCTATCCTTTGGAATAATATTGCCAGGATACACGAGTGTGCTTTCAGCAGGAAGGAATTCATTTGTGACATATTTATAGACAAACAAGGGTTGTTTGTTGAAATTGTGAGGCTGCTGAAGTTAACAGAAGTGAAGACCAGTGGCAACAGCATTTCCTTCTACAGTTAGAAAAACTTCAGCCTCTGTTCCTGACTATGTATTTACCCTGTTAAAAATCAGAAGCATCATGTAGAAAAAATTTGAAGATGGCTTTCTTTCCCCCTGTAATTAGGAATGGTACCATGCTAGCAATGGCCATGACATAAATGACATAAAGCTTCAACTCTAATTACAAAACCACTATAGAAAATAAAATATTTACCAATGAACTTTCACTTATCTCAGCTCAAACAGAGCAATGAAATTTGTTAGCTCCATCTTTGTCTTGGAGTAATTAGATTAGTTTCTTCTTTAGGAATAAAAATATAAAAAGTCATACTCTAACTCTGGGAAAGCACCAGGGAATATTTAGTACCAGAACAACAACAGTGGCAAGGCTCCCTTGCTGATGGTATAATTACAGAAACAAATTAGAGGTATTTTGAATACTCACATACATGGAGATAGATAGAGACTCTGGGAAGATGCAAAGAGTCACCCAAACTCTTCATAAAACACTAAGTCAGAGTAGTTGGGAGCTTCAGACCAGCAGATTTTTTAAACAGCTCAGTAAGAGAAGTGTGAATGGTTCCTGTTCACACAGGTCCATCCCTGCACACTGACAGTGCTCAGGTGCCATGAATCCATCCCTTCCTCCAGAGCTCCACAATCCTGCCCAGCTCAGCCAGATGTCTCCAGCTGTGCCATCCTGGGTCACCCTGAAACACTGGCTGGCAGCAATCAGGGACTGACAGCAAGGAGAAAAGCAAACTTGTCTCTAGAATCCCCAGACTCGAGCAGAGAGCCCAGCCACACTACACACACAGGAATTTGACTTTCTCAATTTTGAGCTTTCATCTTCTGAAACACCCCCAATGTCAGATTAAGTCTTTTCCTGACCCAGAGATGGGGCAACTGAGAGGAGTTTTAAAAACTTTTATTCCATTTTCAGTCTCATGAGAAGGGTGAGACAATACAGGTGTTATAATTCACACCATCACAATCAGAAGCTAATTATTTCTAATTACAATGCACTGTGTTTCTTGGCCTGTCAGCTTTTGCCACAAGAAAAATGTGAAGAATGGATCTGGGTCAGAAAAAGGCTTAATCTGACACCCCTACTGTTAAACCAGAGCCCTTCTCTTGGGGAGGAGCCTGGAGGGAAGAAGAAGGAGAAGCATTTACCTTTCAGGAGGCACGCTGTCCGTGTTGCTGCTGTGCCGCCTCTGCATTTTCCTCAAAACCCTAAAACACAGCACGCTCAACATGAACCCTGTGGCTCAGCAAATCCCAGAGTGGCTACTGGCACAGGCCCTGGGGACAGAGGGCAGTGGAACCCGCTCAGCTGGGGACATGGCTGGCAGCAAGCATTGGTTTCTGTGACAGAGCACCTTGAGCTCCCATTTGTTTCTCAGCACGCTTGAAGGCACAGCTTTGAATGGCAAAGGGGGCACACAGGTGTCCAGGCTGGGCAGGAGTCAGTCAGGAAGGGGCAGGCACCAGGAGGGATGGCATGTCCTGGCAAGGGACATGGGGACACCTAACAGTGGCTCTCGAGGCGACACGTGACTCAACAGCCTCTGGGGAAATGAGATCCCATCTTCCTTTTCTGCAGGAACTTGCTCTGCAAAGCAAAACTGAGAGGGAAAAACAAAAAGTGTAAACACTTCTAATGAAAAAAATACTATTAGCTTATGACAATAAGCAACTCATTCATTTTAATCTACAGAAATGCCATTTGCAAAGTCTAGACAGTAGGCCCAGAATACAATAGCTACTTAATAAAATGTACAGACTAAGATGTGAATACTCTTGAATATAAGAAGTTATAACATTATTCATAACACATATTAATATATACATAGATGTGCAGCCCCTGTGTAAAGGCACAGTGGCTCTGGGAAGGCTGGCCAGCTGTCTCAAAGCACAGTACCTGAAGAACAGCTTTATCCAGAGGTGAAAGGTGCCTCTGGCAGAGATGGAAGCCCAGGAGTGTGCAGACATTCACAGATGGAGCACCTCAGACAGTCCAGGACAGTCCAGATTCCAAACTCATCCCAGTCCTCCCAGCCAGTGACTGTCAGCACCTGGTCCTGGTGCTCACACAGGGACACCTGGAGGAAGCACACAGAGAGCAATTTTCAGCACAGCACAAAGAGTTTTACCTTTCCATGTCCCTGGGAAAGGCAGAGAGGTGCAGGAACCCTTGGTGCTTCAAGCCCTGCCCACGTGCATGGCCCAGCAAGGCTGTTTTCCTCTGGGAGTGACACCTGCAGCCCTGCTGCCCACACAGGCACTCCCTGGGAGTGCTCCCAGAGCTGTGCTCTGCCTTCAGTGTGTCCATACACACACCTATGTGTGTGTGTGTGTGTGTCTGTAATAAATACAGACAGACATCAATGTATTTATAGATACATGCACCTGTATCACAGAACATATCACACACATATATCATAATATATACTTTATAAATCCATCTATACATACACATATCTACAAATGCATGTGTATATACGTATATATTTATGTGTATACACATATTACATACTTACATATACATAGATGTATAGGCATAGATCTGTTAATGTATACCTATCTATTAACAATCCTATACATATACAGATACATATATATGTGTGTGTGTATACACGCTTATATACAGACATATCTAAAAATACAGGCCTATACATATATGTATATATCTATATATACACATACTCATGTAAATCTATATATAGACACATACACATAGTATACATATCTATATATACATACATATATATGTCTAGATAAACATACATGTATATACATATATATATACAGAAGTATCTATTAATACAGTTCTATACCTATACATACATATATACATCTATATATATACATACATATATACATGGTATACATATATAGATACACCTATCTACCTATATAGACATAGATATACACACATGTATATACATATATATACAGAAGTATCTACTAATACAGGTCTATACACATACATACATATACACATCTATATATACACGTATATATTTATAAATAGTATACATATATAGGTATGCATACATGTATATATATCTATATACAGACATATCTATGAATACGATTCTATACATACACATAAGTATATATATCTATATATATACACAGTATATATACACACACATATATATAGGTATACACACATTATATATATATACACAGAAATATCTATTAATACGGTTCTATACCTATACATACATCTATATATATGCATACATATATACATGGTATACATCTATAGATATATACATATACACACACACACATATATATATATATGTATATAAATTAAAACCATACGACTCTATACGTACACACATATACAGACATAAGCCAGGCCTTTTTTCCGGTTAGGTGGGGGAAGGAGGTTCCCGCTGGAATCCGTGGCGCGGTGCCCCGTACCGGGCGGCTCGGCCCGGTGTCGGTGTCGGTGTCGGTGCCGGTGCCGGTGCCGGTGTCGGTGCCGCCCCGCGCACGCCCGGCCGCGGTTTCCGCTCGCCCGCCCCGCCCGCCGGCGGAAGCGCTCGGGCCGCGCTGGGGCCGCGCTGGGGCCGCCCGGGGCTCGCTGCGCCCGCCGGTGATGCCGGCCCCGGGCCCGCGCTGCCCCGAGCCCGGCCATGGTGCCCTGCGGGGCCGTGCTCTGGCGGCGGCTGCTCAGGAAGCGATGGGTGCTCGGCGTCGTCTTCGGGCTCTCGCTCGTGTACTTCATCAGCAGCACCTTCAAGCAGGTCAGTGCCGGCCGGGCCCCGCAGCCGCGGGCTGGGTTAGAACAGCCCGTATGGCACGGGGACTCTCGTTCTTCAGGTGCTGTCACCGCGCCCCTGGGTAATGCTGCCGTAAGAATGACGTTATGAATATTTAATGGATGCAAGAGTTTAAAATAGGAATGCCTGATTCTGTGTTTGACAGCAATAGCGGTTTGAACCAAAACTGGGAAAAGAAAGTCTCCACTGGGTTTGGTGGGTGTTGTTGTTGTGTCTCTTGGGAGTGGGGATTCCACTGGCAAAGGGCTTCTGAAAGACAAATTCGTTCAGCTGCGATATATTATATTATATTTTTTATATTATATTATTTGTATTATATTTTTTATATTATACTATATTCTATTTAATATAATACAAACTACTTTTGTGGTTGTGGTGACCAAGTTCAGCTGTGTTAGCTGATCGATGGTGAACTGGAGTACCCTGACTTTATTTAAGTGTGTGTCTTCCTGTTGAAGTACGAAGTAAAATACTACAAGTAGTAAATTGTTTGCACCATTGATGCTGGAGTTTCCTGTGCTGGGGAGTTTACAAGTACTAGGCATCTTTAATGCTGGGAGAGGCACGTGGATTGAAGTGGCAGGAGGAACTGGTATGTTTGGTTGCATTCCTGTTTTTCCCTGCAGGAAGAGAGGATGGTGAGAGATCGGACTCTCCTCCAAGTGCAGGAGCATGAGCAGCCCATCATGTGGAAGGTGAAGTTCAGCTCGGGGAACAGCAGTCAGCTGAGCAACCAGTGCAGGAACTCTGTGCAGGGGAAGCTCCTCATTACAGATGAACTGGGTATAGTTGATATTTAGTTGAATTTATTCTGCATTTGGCAGTGCTGAACGCTGCTCTGCCTGTCTGACTGCTGATGGCACTTTGATGGAACAGCTGCTCTTTATTAAGACATTTTCACTCAGCCCTTGGCCTGTTCTCCTCTGGCTGCCTGAATTTCACTGTGGCTGCAGGTGCTGCTGCTTTGGTTGTGTGCATACCAGGCTCAGGCCCAGGGCTGTGTGACTGTGACTGTCACCACCTAAAAGTCACAGAATTCCAGTTACCTTTGCACAGAACCCAGGCACTGAGTCTTGCTCAGTTTGCTGTGGTTGCTTGCAGAGCTCTCTGTGTCCCCTGCAGAGTGCTGCTGCTGCTGTCAGGGGGTTAGGGAGAGCAACTGAGGAAACCTTGGCCTTGTATGGAGGCAGCTCAGGGCTGGTGGTGTAATTAGTGCTCAGTCACAGTTAATGAGCTTGTCTGACCTTGTAAACCCGAGGTTATTCACCACTTGTTTCAAGCAGTAGAAGTTAAAGACTTTCCTGCCCTGCACTGTGTTTGTTGCTTAGACCTGGATCTTTCTTGGCCACAAATCAAGGCTACAGAGAACCCACCACATCTTTTGTGATTTGCATCAATGTTAAATTTGGCACTGCCTGACTTAGGCTTAGTGCCAGTTCCGAAGATCTCTAAAAATTACAGCTCTCTCACTGTCTAACACTGTGGTAGTACCATTTCTATATATATTTAATATGGTGTATATTCTATAATATACACCATATTTCTATACTGTTAAGGATTCCATTCAGCAATGAATATTACACTGTCCTGCATGCCTAAATCTATGTCTCTTCATACTGAACTGTAAGAGAATTATCCAGACACAGACCTGTTTCAAAAACGTGTGTCGTGGTTTTTTTTCAATATAATCAATGCCAATCCCATTTCCCCTTTCACAACAAGGAACTGTGCCCAAAAAAAGTCAGAAATAATCTGCATTTAAATACTCTTGGTGTATATAGAGCATACATTAGAGTAGGATATGATAGCTGTGCAGATAACACCAGGCTGTTTGAAACACCTCTCTCCATTTCAAAGAGTGGCTGCACAGGACTGAGGGGGGATCATAATCTACTAAATAACAAACAAACCTGCTCTTAAGGAATGTGATCCTTACTGCAGATTTCCACAGAACATACAGAGGGGTGTGCCTTGCCAGTTGTCACTCCTGTTGCTGTTTTGCAGGCTACATCTGTGAGAGGAAGGACCTGCTGGTGAATGGCTGCTGCAATGTGCACGTGCCCAGCACCAAGCTGTACAGCTGTGAGAGCTGCCTGCCCAACGGCTGCTGCAGCATCTACGAGTTCTGTGTGTCCTGCTGCCTGCAGCCCAGCAAGGTGATGGACTCCCTCCTGCTTTCCAGGTGTTCTCAGCTGCTGGGGTCCCTCTGTGGTTTAAAGGGCTTCTTTGTGAGGATCTTTTCCCTTAGAGGGACAGATCCTTTTCATGGAATGATGAGGAAAGCCTCCAAGGAGTGTATGGCAAGCTATAAATAAAGCTTTAACAAAACTCATCCTTCCCACCTTTGGCAGGAAATACTGGGAGCCTTGAAAAGTGTTTCAGCTTCAGGGGAATTGTATTTGTTGAAGAGAAATGATTGCAGAAGAGTTACTGCAGCCAGTATTAGTTTTTTAATTGTAATTTCCCCTTTTCCTGTGATCTTTTCTTGGATTTTTGTCCTGCTGCTGGGGTTCTGAGGCATTAGCCTCTCAGTGCTTGCTAGAAATCCTAAGTGGAGTTGCTTACTATTCCTCTGATACCTGAGCTTTGCAGGCTGGGGTGGGCTTTGATTGCTCCTTGCTGAAGCAGAGTGTTTCTGATTTTTGCCTTCTCTTTGCTGACCACTTCAGCAACATCTCCTGGAGCGGTTCTTGAACCGGGCGGCCATCGCGTTCCAGAACCTCTTCATGGCAGTGGAAGATCACTTTGAGCTGTGCCTGGCCAAGTGTAGGACTTCATCACAGGTGAGGCACCAGCTCATGTCCAGGGCCCAAAAAGTGCCCTTGGGAAGTGGGGCTCAGTGCTGTGAATGGCTGGTGTGTTGTGCTTGTGTTTTCATAAAAGCTGAAGCCATGGCTGAGAGCCAGTCTGAACTGAAGGCAGAGCACTTCCATTTAGAGCAGGACAAGTTGCACATTCTCTGTAGAAAAGAGGGGCTTAACCAAAAAGAGACTGAGTTCAGTGGCTGGGGAAGATCTCATTAGGATGAAGACAGTGAGAGCTGTTCCCAGTAGCCTCAGAATGCTCTTTATTTTATGGTACAGCTGGAGACTCACCCTGTGCTGACAATCACCTGCATGGTAACTCAAAAACTGCTGTAATTTCTCTGCTTATTAAGGACAGAGGTGAACTTCTGTTACCCATGTGATTTTATTAGAAGTTTTGGTCTAAGCAAGCAGTGGCCCTTTTAGAAAGTGCTGTTGGCCATGTCCTGCAGCTTCAGTCTTTCAGGTAGGAATAGGGATGGACTGCAAACAAAGGATAGAGTTCCAAATGTCTCCAAAGTTACTGGGATTTTTTACCCATAAAATCTGACCTCTACCTTTTGTCCAGAAAAATGCACACATCTCAAGTTGCAACTTTATTGTGCTCTGTTTGCTGAGAACATTTGATGATACTGCCTAAACAGATCTAAGTTTTGGGTTTTTTTAATGAAATCTTTTCCCACCTACTTGGGTACTCTATTGGAAAGGAGGTTCTGGTTCAACATTGCAGTGCTGTAATACATCAGCTGGCTCTTGTGTGCTGGCAATGCAGAGTTCTTTGATCCAAAGGCACTCTGATGTGTAGAAGAATTTGGGATTTGGGATTTTTTTTTTGCCTGTGCATAAACTCTGTGCAATTTTTCCTTCAGTGAAGGAATGCCTTGTTTCACTCTGTGCATATTGTTAAAGCTTCTCCTCCTTTCCTGGCAGAGTGTGCAGCATGAGAACACCTACAGAGACCCAATTGCCAAATACTGCTATGGGGAGTACCCCCCAGAGCTCCTGCCTGTCTGAGAGCTGCACATCTGAGCAGGAGAGGAAAGAACTGGAGCCTTGAATCCAAAAGGACAAGACAGCAGCTGTTGCTTTACCAAAGCTTCGGTGTAAAAAGTTTGCCTTGGACGTGGGGGCGAACCCAGAGGTGAAGAGAGGAAGTAAGGAACTTTGGGACTGAATCTTGCTTTCTTCAATTTATTGTGCACCTGCTTTGGAGTGCTGGCACTGTGCTGCTCTGCCAGGGCATTCTTTGAATAATTCCTCTGAATTTCAGGAATCATGGAGTCAATCTAGGCTATAGAACATCATGGGGAAAATATCTAATGTGGCTTTGCAGCTGTAAATGGAGGTTGTGTCTCAGAGACTTTCCAGGGTGACAGAAGTAACTGGAGGACTTTGCCTTTCAGAGGGCAAAGCATGCCCACTGTGCTTCTCTCTCTGGAGCCCTTCTTGGCATGCATGGTGTACACTACATATGTAATTATGAATTATTTATTCATTTTATATGGGTCACTGGCTGAAAGTACGGATGCTTTGCATAGCTAGTTGTGGATGCCTTTCAGTCCCTGCTTTGCTGTGTCAGCTAGAAGGGATATTTTAGATCCTGACTAAAGTTGGTAGGGTTTTTTTTTCCTCCTTAGTCTAAAGGAATTGTATTGGGATTTGTCGCTATAGTCCTTATGTTCCTCTTAGTGAGTTTAACATTCAGAACTCCAATGGAGTTGTTCTGCCACAGTCCCATAGCACAAGAGAAGAGCAGGGATCTGCCTAGGATGGGATGTTTATTGTCTCTAAACACTTTCCTTGTTACTCTGCAGCAGTTTCCTCAAAGAGGAGTCCAGTTTTGTGAGCAGCTCTCTGCTGTCCACTTGCTGACAGGGAGCTGGGAAGATTTGTTTGCTTGAACTTGTTCAGGCCTCTGTATTTCAAATTCACTCCTGGTTGTGCAGGAGGCCAAAGGGTGGAGCTGAGCTCCCCCAGCACCTTTCCCAGAGCTGCCTGTGCCTTTCCAGCCTGCCCCAGTGAAGGAGGCAGGATGGCTCTGCCAGCCTGTCCAGCTCTCAGGCAGATCCTGAAATGTTTGACATCTGCATCTCAGGCAGCAAACAGCAGCTTCCTTTTAGCCCTTGGAACCCCCTGCACCAAATTCGATCTTCACCTTTGACAAACATATTAAACAGGACTCCGTTAGACGAAGATGAGAATTCATTATCCCATGCTTGCTTTACACAATCCAGTGCCAAGCTCCTGCCACTGTACCTCAGGCAATGGGGAAAGTGAGACGGCAACTTGCGGCCGGGAGTTTAGGATAAAAGGAGGCTGCGTCCTCCGAAATCTCGACAGGGACCCCACAGGGGTATGGCGTAGTGGATTCTCTCCCTTTATTCGAATAAAATTGCAGGACTCCTCTGTCTCCTTTGTGAGCATTGGCTTTTCACATGAACAGGGCAGCGGCCCGGTCCGACCTGACCGCCGCGGGGCCCTGACGCGCACTGAGGTAACCCGGAAATGACGCGCCTGGTTTTGCCTTCCCCTGAGCCAATGGTAGCGCCGGCCGCCCCTCACGTGACATCCACACCCGCCCTTGGGTTCTAGCTCCCGCCGCCGGGCGCGCGCCGAGCTGAGCATGCGCAGTGCGGCCATCCCGGCATTTCCCCCAATTCTGTGGGAATTCTGTGGGAAAATTTTCCATCATCCTGTGAGAAAACGTCCCCACAGAGTCCCCGCGGGGGCACGCGTGTCCCTGTCCCCTCAGGAGCTGTGCTGTGGCACCAGGGGCTGCTCCAGGGGTGGGTGAGGGCTCCCCCCGGCCCAGAGACCCCGCCAGGCCCGCAGCCCCTCATGGCCCAGGGACGCACGACACGAGCCGCGGCGTGAGGCTTAGCCTTTATTACCTTCATTAACTTTAATTAAACTCTGCGGAAGCCACAGCCAGGTGGAGGCGGCCTCGTGCCGGGTGCTGGAAGAGCCCAGGACAGCCAGGCCGAGGCCGAGCCCTCATCCTGTGCTCTGCAGCCGTGCCCGGCTGTCTGTGCCCCGTGAGGGACACTTGGCGACAAAGAGGAGTTGCTGCACTTCCAGCACCGGCAGCGCTGCCAGGCCTGCTCAAGCGTGCTGATTTATTAAAAATATGGAGATTGATCTAGTACCGATATCCAACTGTGACGGACAAAGACTCTCTAACAGTTTAAAGTTAGAAAGTGTATGTTTATTGTGGGATAGCTCCCAAATACACACCGCGATTTACAGGTGACTACAGAGTCCTTTTATCTATACAAGTATTGAATACCCAAAATACAAATGCATATTCATAACTTTGGTACATCCCAGTCCCCGCTTCATATGGTAATTACTTCAAAAGCCATTAAGCATGCATAGTTTGTTCCTTGAAATGGGTCGGTGGTCCCTTTCATGGGGAGGGGTCCCAAAATGAGTAAGTAAATGAAGTCTTCCTTGTTCTGACCTTTCTACATTTTCAATGCAAATATAACAAATGAACCCATTGGTAGAACTCCCATTCCCGTCTTCAACTGGTTTCAGAACAGAGGAGGCCTACAATTGTCTTATGTTCCTAAAAGCTATTTATCACTTTCTATATTCTTCATTATAAACCCAGCTAACCAAACATTATGTTGACAAGCAATCAATTATCAGTTAACTACTAACTCTTAACTTCACAAGGCCTACCCATTGATTTTGATTAACTCCAATAAAGCTTATATCTCTAACTAAAACCTCAGCTCCACTAAAATCCCGAAATTCTTTAAAGTTTATGTCTCAATGCAAAGATGGATTTTAGCCATCCCTCCCAGGGCTGCCGCTCTCTAGAGCCACCTGAGGGCAGGGGACAGGGCACAGTAATAGGTGCCATTGTCGTCCTGGCAGGCGGCTGCGATGGTGAGGATGCAGGCGTTGCTGGCCAGGTCCTTGGTGGCCGAGAAGCGGTCGGGAGTCTTGGCAGCCTTGTGCTTGTCTCTCTCGGAGTTGTAGTAGAGCAGGTACCTGAGGGAGTGCCCTGGGCGCTGCTGGTACCAGGAGATGCCGAAGTGGCTGATGTTGTACTGCGGGCTCAGCGTGCAGGAGAGCCGAGCGCTCTGCCCGGGCTGCACCGACACCGAGGGAGGCTGGCTCAGCACGGGCTGAGCCCTGGCAGCTGCACACACTGGGGATGCAGTTAGTGATGGGCTGAGCCGTGTCCCCCCTCACCCTCACCCTGAAATGTCCCCAAACACATTCCCCAACCACCACCCTGCTCATCGCATCACAAGCCCCGGAGCACAACGCCCTACTCAAACCAACCCCCAGGCAGAGCTGCCTCACACCCTTACCCGTGCCCAGCGTCCCCAGCAGGAGCAGGACTGTGAATCCCAGGGCCATGGCAGGAGGCAGAGGAAGGGAGGCTGTTTCAGAGCAGCTCTGGGGTGCTGCACAAAGCCTGGGTGCTGTGCCGTGGCCACTGGCGGGGTGTATGTAAATGACACAGGGGGCTCAGGGACTCTGCTCCCCGGGGCTGCTCGCTCTGCTGCAGCTGGGCTTCAGGGAGGGGGTGAGAGCTACCACCCTCAGCCCAGCCCGTTTCCTTCAGCTGCACCAGCACACCCACAGCTCACCCCACAGCCTGGGCACTGGGGTGCCATCGCTGACCATCTCTCTTTGCTGATGGGAGGAGCAGAGAGGTTTCCCTGCAGTCTCGCACTCAGGCCCTCTGCTGCCAGGCATGCAGAAGGCCAAGAGCCTGAGCCACACCGTGCCAAGGATGTCCTGGGGGGGCAGCAGGCTGGGGGCCACCAGGGAGAAGGGAACTGTCCCATCACAGAAAGAACAGGAGCAAAGCTGCTGCTGCCTTCCTGCAGCTCCATCACGGTGACAGGAATGACTGGGCGGGGTCTCAGCATAACTTGCAGCAGGGAGGTGCTGAAGGTGCTGGGAGTGCTGCCTCTTGGCCAGGGCCCCCTCAGAAGCAGCAGCGTGGGCAGCCCTGGAGGGTGGGCGGCTGCTGAGGCCATCGGGCAGGAGGCGGGCGCGGTGTCCCCAGGGAGAGGTGGCTGCAGCACAGCTGCTGCGGAAGGACAGCAGACTGTCACAGCAACGGCCACCAGCTCAGCGGGCGTGAAGCCACTCCCGCCTGTGACACCTGCCACGGGGCCACTGTGTCACATGGCCACCAGCCCAGGCTGTCCCCAGCAGTGAGGGCAGCGGGCACCTCTCATGTGCCAGAGCTGCTGGGCACCTCCTGTCCTCCCCAGGCAGGCTCAGCCCCTGCCAGTGCCACCTCATCACCACCCGGGGACAGCCACTCCCTCTGCAGCACCCACAGAGGGCCCAAACAAAGCCATTTGCAAGTTTGTGCCTGCAGATGTCAGCAGTTTGTGTTTGATGAGCTCTTGCAGGTAGGAGCACCCTGCAGGTGCAGCTCCAGCTGCTGCCCAGCAGCACTCCCCACATTCTGCCAAGTGGTGCCAAGATGAACACAAATCTCCCTGCACTTAACCTAGGGGAGGAGTGTCACACACACACACCTTGTCCCAAGCTCTGACTGACTATGAAATGAAACCTGGCAAGACAGAGAAATCCCCTCCTCATGCAAAGAGGGGCATTCCAGAGAAAGGGAATTTGTCCTCAGAGCAGTGGGCACTGGATAATGCAGCACATCAGTGTTGTTACTGGTTCCCACCATTCCAGCCTCCCCATCTGCTGAGCAGCCCAGGGACATGATTTCATCCATGTTTTCCACAGGAAAAGGGGATGATGCTACAGGGCCCTGACTGCAGGAGCACTTGCACAGCAACATTTGGGCACCAAATACAAGCTGCAGCTGGCACATGACCATGTCCACCATGGAACCCCAGTGCCTCCTGCTCCAGAGCAGGATCCTCAGGGGGGTTCCTCCAGTGGCATCAGCCATGTCACAGAGGAAGCCAGGCTGGCCTTGCAGCAGTGCTGGGCTCAGCCAGGAGCAGAGTGAACAGATGTGGCACCACCACAGCCCAGATGAGCTGCAGGACAAATGGGGGCAACAGGAAACATCACGAGACTACAGAAAGTCTGAAACTCAGAGCGTCTGGGAGCACATGGAGCAGGCAGCCTTCCCACAGGCTGGGGTTTAGCTCAGCCCTTGCTCTGCCTCCTCTCTCCCCCCGCAGGAGGCTCGGGAATCTGCAGGGGCCATTCATTCCCTGTTGCTGGGCAATCTGGCTACCGAAACCACAACAGCGTCAGTGGGGATGGAGTCTGTCTGTCCTGGGCTCTGCCGCAGCTCCCAGCGCTGCCTGCAGGGAGGGGCACGGCAGCACCACCATGTTCGCCACGGTGAGATTCGGAGGTAGGTGGGGGTAGCCGGGCACCTGGGCCACCCTGGTCACCCCCACGAGGGGCAGGGAGGGACACAGCAGCCGGTGCACAGCAATGCCCAGGGCTGAGGGAACGGGCAGGAGAGCTCTGCCAGGCACGGCAGCATCCTGCACCTCACTGCTTTTATTTATCGATTACCCCTACACTCCAAATCATGGAGGGACTCCAGCAGAGCTGAGCCAAGCACAGGGAGGGAGGCTGGAGGTGAGGAGGAGTTCCCAGCCTGGCAGCTCTGGGAAAGCACCAGAGGGGGCCCTGCTTATCTAGACACAACCAGAAGAGCCGTGGGGCACAAGTGGCAGCTGCCAGGGGAGCTCCTGCGTTCTGGGCTGTGTGGGAAGGGTTCCCTGGCTGAAATCCTGGCCCTCAGTGTCAGAGAGCAGGCATTTGTGGGAAGGAATGAGCAGCCTCTCTCCTGACCTTACCCAGCTGGCTGAAAGCCTTGGCCTTACCCCAGACACTCGTGGCTGGAGCCATCACACACAGTCCTGAGCCTTTGCTCCCTCTGCTATTTGAATTGGATGCCCAGCTCTGAGTGCTGACGTGTGTCAGCCCTGGGGGATTTCTCAATTGTGACAAACTCGGTCAGAGTTCATGGCCAAAATATCCTGGGTGACTCAGCCACAATCTGCAGCTCCTTCCCCTTGTGACTGGGCCCAGCTCATAGGAGGGCACTGGCACGGACCCTGCTTTTTCCTACTCATGCTTGCTGAAACAAATTGAAGGACAGAGACACTTCATCAATCAGAACCATTCTCCCCAAATGAAAGTGCTCATCTTCTCCCCTTGCCCTGGGGCACTCTCAGCACCCATGGCTTTAACACAGCTGCTCAAAGCCCAGCTGGTGCCACCTGGGGGTGCTGCCTTTGCTGGCCACAGTGGGCACCTCTGAGCCTCCTGCTGTGCCCATGTGGTCCCTGGGTTTGGGGTGACCATGCTCCTGTCTCAGAACTCATTCCCTGTTTGCAGCCAACTGCCAAGAGATGGTGAACCTGCTCTGCTGTGTCCAGACCCTCACAGGCCACCTGAAGTGGAAGTGTCAGTGCAGGCCTGAAGGTAGGAGTGCTCTGGGCTGTGGTCACCAAGGGACTGCCACTCACCCATAGAGAGCAGCACAGGGTAACAAATGGGTCACATGGGAGTCACAGAACATCCCAAAACACAGGAAAAGGGACAGCAAACCTCCCACTCCCCAGATCTCAGCAGATTCTGTTCTAAGTGTAACTTGCCAAGGAAAATGTCTCTAAACCCCTCAGGCTCACATTGGCCCCAGAGGGGCAGCCTGGGCTTCCTTCACCACGTCTCTCTCTCCAGACTGCATTGATCTTCTGGATGAAAAGGGCACCCTGATGAACCTGAGCAAAGTGGAAGATCCAGCATCTGAATATGCCAGTAAATACCTGCAGGGAAGGCAGCGCTACATCCTCATCAGAGCTGTCCGTGAGTCCCTGTGCAGCCAGCCCTGGGCAGGGGCTGCTCTGGGGGCAGCTCTGGGGAGGGCTCTGCTCTGCAGCCACTGGGACACAGCCCAGAAGCTCTGAGGAGGCAGAAGCCAGCTCAGATGAAGAGCTAGAGCTGAGCCTTTGCTTGTCCAAGGGCTGCTCCAGGGGAAAAGGAACTTTTCCTGGGCAGAACCACCTGCCCCAGTTACAAGCCTTCAGTTTACAGCCAGGAGAGAGACTAATCCATTTCTCCCATTCTGCTGCCAGGAGAAGAAAACTCTGAAGCCATCTGCTACGAATCCTTGCTTGAGGACCTGGGGAAACACTACCCTGAGCTCCCAGGTAAGAACCAGGCACCCACCTCACCTCCACAGTGGAGTCAGGGGTGCAGGCATCACTCCTGTTCCACCTCAGCCCTCATACAGCACCTGTGGGACTCTCCTCTGATCCCCCTGTGCTCCTTCAGGGCTCCTGTGGGCAGTGAGGGCATTCAGGCACCAAGGGAGGGGACAAGCAGGGCTGCTGTGCAGGACCCCTCCCACTGAGGAGTGACACCCTGCCCAGCTTGTCCCCCTGGCAAAGAGGCTCATCTCCTTGGGATAACCAGGGAGGGGAGGACATCAGGAGAAATTGGGAAACCCTCAAGTGTCTCTCCAGGCTGTAGTCTCACAGGTTGGCAGTGCCTTGCTCAACATGTAATGGGCAATTGACCAACACAGCAGGAAAACAACTCTGGAAGGGCTTGGTCACCCCACAGATCGGCTGCAGCAGCTCTCAGCAAAGACTCAGAGGACAGAGCAGAGGAAGAAGGGCTCTTTGCAGAGAGCTCAGCCTCACACCAGCTCCCGAGCCAGGAACAGAACCACCTTACAGAGCAAGAGGAGCCTGGAACACAAGAGCACCCCTAAGTGAGGAACAGACCCATCACTGGTCAGCACAGCCTCCACCAGGTTCTTATTCCAGCACAGCAGAGTCCCCTGTACTGAGCCCCTCTCCCCCCAGAGCTTCACACATCCCACAGCTGCACCCTGACAAACCCAGCATCACAGCCAGGCACAGGCACCACCCTCCTGCTCCCCTGGCATGGCCTGCATCCCCAGGGACAAACCCAGCATCACAGCCAGGCACAGGCACCACCCTCCTGCTCCCCTGGCATGGCCTGCATCCCCAGGGACAAGAACCTGCACCTCCTCCCCACCCAGCTGCACTCCCATCACTGCTGGGGGTGCTGGAGTGGCCCTGCAGGGACTGCTCTGCAGTCTCCAGGAAAAGCTGCTCCAGAGACAGCCACAACTGCAGGAGCAGCTCTTTGCCAAGATGGGTCAAGGGCAGAACACATCTGCTGCAGGTGCTGCTTCTCCACCCAGAGCAATACACCAACAGCCTAATACACTTATTTCTTAAAGGGAGTTAAACAGCTTTGGAGTGGTTGCTCCCTGCTCTCACAGGACAGCTCAGCACATGGAGCACTTGGGCTTTTAATCTCTGCCATCTACTTTTTTCTTGGCTATCTCTAAGGAGAACACAAGACAGCCCTGCTAAGGCCAGGCACAGCTCAGGATATCTCTGCCAAGAACTTAGGACTGTGACATTTAGAAGGGGCAGAATTTTCAACACCAGCCCCCAGGATCTGCTAATAGCATTTACCACCTAGACTTGGATTTCCTCACAGATACCAGCAAGGGGGTGAGAACTCGTCCTTTATTCAACAGTCAGATCAAAAGGTTAAAAGACTCATTCTGGCATGAAAAATGCATCAGTTAAGGACCTGAAAGTGTCCTGGCTTCACTGCTGTGCCACTAAAACTCCAGCTGAAACCTCAGAATTCCCTCTTAGACCAACGTGAGGAACAGGGTGTCCCTGCTGGAGGCCAGTCAGGGCAGCAATCACGAGGCTGTGCTGCCAAGGTGACTGAAGAGCAAAGCAGCTCCAACCTTCACCTGCTGCCAGTGACCTTGAGAACATTGCATAACCTGCTAAAGCCTCAGAGTCAGATCAGCCAACTGTACCCAAGTGCCACAGCCAGACAGGTCACACTCTCAGCTCTGAGGGAAGGACAGGTACTCAGGAAGAGGATATCTATAGAAGAGTAATTTGTCACTGAAAATCCCGTGGGACACGTGTTGGCTTACCTCACTGCAGCCTCTCCTTGGCCTGGAGGGCAGCCAGTGTCTGGATCCCCTTCTGCCCAGTCATGCAGGCCCAGTCCTTTCTAGGCTGCACCCCCTGTTTCCAGGAATACACACTTGTGCCTTGTCCTTTGGCTGACAATGTTAATGCTTTGGTAGCTTGATTTTAGTATGAGAATTAAATAAAGAACACACACAGGTGATAGGTCCAAATAAATTCTTTTATTTCTCTGTAATAAATACAGTGCTATCTGAACACTGAAGACCCTTGGGTCCAATCATTCCCTTCCTTCCCTACTAGTTCAGAAGTGAATTACCACTAGCATACTCCTGGCTGGTCAGTCTGCTCTCTCCAGCTCACTCCCTGTCTGTCCTGCCACTCCCTGGGGAGAGCAGGGCTCTACACCACGATCCTCTTCCCTACGAGGGGGCGAATTCTTCACAGGAGAGAAGAAACACCTACAGGGAGGAAGCAGAAGGTCAGCATTAGGAACACGTTCCACCAGCTGGAGTTAAAGCTCTCTCACCCAGTTTAACCAGATCATGACCTAACTACTGACAACAGCTTGTACCAAATGCAGCAGGAATTAAAGAGTCAGCCAGGGAGAGAGGCAGGCTGCCCATGGCAGCAAGAGTGGATCCTCTAAGAAGGTACCTACAGCCTCCCAGCCTTCACACAGAGACAAGGCCAAAATCGTTTCTCCTTCCCTTTCCAGCTGCGTTCCTGACTAAAGACACAACTACATCCTACTAAAGCCCTAAAGGGTTCTACATCCCCAAAAAATCGCTTCTGCAACCCCCTAACCCTCAGAGGCGCTGTGCTGGCAGCAGCTCCCTCCGCAGACCCAGGCCCGCTCACCGTTGCTGTACTTGCACTGCTTCAGAGCCTCGTTGAAGCCCTCGCACAGGGTCAGGTCTCGCTGGTTGGTGGCGCATTCCAGGAACTGCTTCATCTCATAGTGGCACGGTCCGTACGGCGACTGCTGCAGCACGGCCGGGGGCTCCTGCGGCCACGGGCCCGGTCAGGCCGGCCGGGGGCAGCGGCGCCAGTTCCAGCGCGCTCCCGTCCCCTCCAGCGGAGGGGGGCTGCCCGTCCGTCCGTCTGTCCGTCCGTCCTTCCCTCCCTCCCGGCCCCGCTCCCCTCTCCCGCCGCCCCCCATCCAAGGGCGGCCCAAGGGCGCAGCCCGGCCCCGCTCGCACCTGCGCGGGCGCCGCCGCCTTGGCGGGCTCGGAGGAGCCGCCGCTGAAGACGCCGGTGATGGCGCTGCCCACGACGTGTCCCACGGCGGAACCCACAGCCACGCCGGCCGCCGTGCTCGCCATCTGCGCCATCAGCCCGGGCTGCGCCGGCTGCGCCGCGGGCATCGGGGCCGCTGGGGCCGGGCTGCGGAGAGAAGGGAGTCATGAGGAGCGGCGCAGGGCGGCATGCTGGGGTGTGCCCGCCTGAGCCGAGCCGGGCCGGGCCGGGCCGGGCCGGGCCGGGCCGGGCCGCGGTACCTGGCGGGCGCGGGGTGCGCGGGGGCCTTGGCGGGCCGGGACACGCTCCTGCTGCCGCGCGCCATGGCTGTGAGCGCGCCCCGCCCCGCGCCCGCCTTTAGCCAGCCCGCGCCGACACGTGACGCAGCGCGCACGCGCAAATGGCGGCCGGGGCCAGGCCACGCCCCGCTGGGGGAAGGCGCGGGTCTCGCAGGGCGCATGCGCAATAAGCGCTGCGGGGAGCCCGCGCACCGCCCGTTCTCTCCCGGCAGAGGGCGCGCGAGAACCGTGCGGGGCCGGGAGAGGGAACCTGTGACGGGATCGATCACGGGATCAATAATGGAACCGGTGACGGGATCGATCACGGGATCAATAATGGAACCGGTGACGGGATCGATCACGGGATTGATCATGGACCCGGTCACGGGATGGATCATGGAACGGGGGCACGGGATCCATCATGGACTCAATAATGGACCTGGTCACAGGATCAATCATGGGATCGATCATGGAATCGGTCAAGGTATCAATCACAGAACCGATAACAGGATTGATCACAGGATTGATCATGGAACTGGTCACGGGGTCAATAATGGAACCGGTCACGGAATCGATACAGGATCAATCATGGGACCGATCACAGCATCAGTCACGGGATCGATCACCGAAACACCGAGACACCGAAACCGAGTCCGGGCGCTCAGGCAGCTCAGCCAAGGCCGCCGGTGCCCGGTGTCCCCAGTACCGCCCCGCGCGGTTTCTGAGCACCCCCAGCCGGTGCCCCCCGTGCGGGGCTGGGCAGCCCTTCAGTGCAGAAATCTGTCCCTGATGTCCAAGGTGAACATTCCGTCACAGCCTGAGGCCGTTCCCTCTTGTGCCACCTGCGGGAACAGAACGATCCCCCCGCCCCGCTCCATGCACGGCCCGGGAGCGCGGGGACAGCGGCCCCGGGACGGCGCTGCAGGGCGGGACACGGCGGAGCTCCCGGGGCAGGGCTTTGAGGAGGCTCGGAGCCTCCTGCCAGGTGTGGGGCAGGCCCCGAGAGCGTGAAGGGGCTTGTGCTGGGCAATGAGCGCGGCCGCCGTGCAGGAGAGGCGGGAGTGAGGGAATGTGAGCGCCCCGCAATTGGGGCAGGGAAAGGAGCTGCCAGGGAGGAGGGAAGGGAGGAATGATGTGGTCTAAACCATTGACCAGCAGAACAATTTTTGCAGCAGCCCTCTGGATACAAACCAGGAGATCAAGGAGCGCTGTGCAAGGCGTGGACATTGTTGGGCAGGAGGAATCCTTGAAAAGATGATGATGAGCCCTCAAATCATGAAGAGACAGGCTGGACGACGCCAGCTTTACCTCCAAACCAATTTCCTGACAATTATCTCTTCCCTGGCACCCCCACTTGTCTCCAGGGCCCCTCAGTGTCTCCCTGGAATGGGCCTTGTTGCCACCTCTATCTTGGGGTGTTCTTTTGCCCAATGGAGAGAAAGAAATTTCCAACATTGAGAAGGATCCAGAAGATATCCAGGAAAAAAAAAAATCCCAGCTGTGTCGTGTCTCTAGGGCTGCATTCATACATTCAGCAAGTTGTGAAAAGCAGCTCTTTGGGCTGGTTCATTGACTGGCAGGAATTAGAGAGCTCAGTCAATGCAGGGTTGGCAATTAGCTGCCGTGGAAGTGTTTTTGTAGAGTCAAATTTCCAGCACGAGGGGAAGAGAAAAGAGTTTGTAAAGCAAGCCGCCCCTCGGCGCGGGAGCCGGGCGGGCAGGGGGAGCTGCAGCTCCTGAGGGAAGGAAAGGATCGTTCCCAAACAAACCCCGCTGTGAGGGGAACACCCCCAAATCCTTCCCCCAGCACTGCCGGGGGCTCTCCTGCCCCGGGAGCTGTGCAGTGCTGCTTTCAGCTGGAACAGCAGCGTTTCACACCCAGCCTTTCCCTGCCCGACTTCTCCCACCGACAGAGGGGCCGACCCGCTGGGAACGCTGGAATGGGACTGGAAAGCCCCTGCAGCACCTGCACTTTCCCCTTTTCCCAGCTCCTGAGAAAGTGTGGCTGCCTTCATTGAAGAGAAGAGGGTGGCCCTGTCCTGAGGAGCCACGAGAGCAAACAGAGGAGGGAGAGACAGGACAGAGAAAGGGCAGGAGGGGAGAGGAGAGGAGGGTGGGTGAGCTCAGGGAGCTGTGAGGAGCCTGTGCTGGAGGGAGGAGAGCGCGGACTCGCAGGGGCACAGGGAGTGCCAGAGCCCAGCCGTAAGAAATCCCCATTCATTAGGGGCAGCACGCACAGAAGGCCTTGCTGAAGGAGCCCGGGCTTCAAGCTGAGCGCGCCCCTCTTTGGGACGCTTTGATTTGGTTAATTAGACACAAAGTTTTTCTGTGTGGTGCGAGGCCGGCTCTGTGCTGAGGAGAGCAGCAAGCCCGGCTTTACTAATGGGATATAGCCCGGCTTTACTAATGGGATAATTGGGTGTGTACGCAGCTCCGCCCCGCACACCCCGGCGGGAGAGGCCCCGCACCGGAGGCGCAGTTGCGGTGTCAGGTCTCCCTGCCTTTCCCCATTGTCCACCGTTTTTCACGTTTTTTCCCCCATTTTTGCAGTTCCCAAGGAGGACAAGTCGCTGATCATTTCCCCATTTTCCCCATATTTCCCCCATTTTCCCCCGTTTTTCCCATTTTTCCCATTTTCTCTGTTTTTTGCTCCAGTTCCCGAGGAGAACAAGTCACCAATCATTTCCCCATCTTTCCCTCCATTTCCCCCCCATATTTCCTCCTTTTTCCCCATCGTTTTTTCCTGTTTTTTCACCGTTTTTTCCCATTTTCCATGTATTTTGCCCCAGTTCCTGAGGAGGACAAGTCATGGATCATTGGGAGCCGGCCCTGCTCCATGGCCCAGTGCCTGTTCCAGGACATTTCCCCCCATTTTTCCCCCATTTTCTCCCTGTTTTTTCCCATTTTTTTTGCCATTTCCCCCCCATTTTCCACCATTTTTCACATTTTTGCCCCATTTTTGCAGTTCTCAAGGAGGACGAGTCGCTGATCATTTCCCCATTTCCCCCCATATTTTCCCCATTTATTCCCCATTTTTTCACCATTTTTTCCCATTTTCCCCATTTTTCCTGTTTTTTCACAATTTTTTGCATTTTCCTGTGTTTTTACCCCAGTTCTCGAGGGACCATCCTCCCACTGCAGAAGGCCTCATTTACATCCAAATACCCTCGCAACAATTTTCACTGTTTGACCGGCCAAACTTCCTAATTCTGCTATTTTTCACCCTAAATTTGACCTTTGATTCAATGAAGTGGCTTCATTTTGTCTCTCTCTTTTCCCCTGCCCCAGATCTCTCCTTACACAGTTCAGCTGTTGGGGCTTGCCTACACTTGAAGGTTGCCTGTGGATTTAGGGACATATAAATCTGAAAGACAGTAACTAATTCTGGAATACATCTGGAAGGATTTACTCAAAAATCAGTAATTTCTGAGTACCTTGGTGCCCTGGCTCCCAGTTCACCCTCCTATTAGCAGCAGGAGCAGGTAAGGCAAGGACATGAAAGAACACAAGTTCACACTGCTGCTCTCAAGGTGAAGAAAAGGGAAGTTTATTTTCTGACTCCAACATTTATAGATTCCCAAGAGTGACAGTGGATTGGAGGGTGACAGTGCCACCTCTCCAATGACACTGGACAAACCAACAGTCTATCAAATTTCTCCTCCTCCATAAAGGAATGCAAACCAATGAGTTATTTATATAAAGTGTGTGAGAAAGTTCGCTAAAGAATGTCAACATCAGAAGG